CACAGGAATGACAGTCAATATTGTATAAACATTTATTCTCTGTACAGTTGTAAAGGAATCAACGGGGGAATCAATATTACTGATAGAAAAATACCTTTGCTGCACCACGATTACTGCACACCCGTACATACAGTAACAGAAGAACATTGTGTGTGTTGTGAACATTGTATAAAACAATACGAGCGTGCAAACATGACATCAATTAGGTATGAAAAACAAAGTGTCACTCATACTAAAAGACGTACAGTTTGTGGTACATTAGCATATTTATATAATATTCTCTACAAAAAATATCAGTGATAATATCCTTTCTTAGTTTCATTTTATGAATCAGATATAACAATGACTGTGTGCAAATGTCAGAACTTAAACAACTCCTGTGTTTGGAGTAACCGCGTAGACCTGTGAGGAGAAGCAAACAGATAAGTCTTTGGAGTGAATCTTTTTTGGCTTCATGTGTAAAAATCAAGTCAGATGTTAAACTGCACACGTTTAAAAAAAAAAAAAAAAGGCTTTTGATACAGCACGTGTCCCTTTAGCCAGCTGTTCATGTCACAGAGTCAAGAGAGGCAGCAGCATGGATCTCCGATGAAGCAATATGACACGTGATCTCTCGGTGTTTAACACAGTGTTAAAATATTCAGCAGACGTCCCTCCAATATGTTCTGTCTTGGTGGAACAATGTTATAAAAGTTGGTGTCACAGGCAGCCTTTGACAACGTGATTGATCTCATCATATTGTCTGTAATGAAGAATCAATTTTTTAATAGGTTAGTCTGGATTTGTTTGATTAGCAGCCACTCTGGCTTTTCACTCAGCAGTCACAACATCCGAGCCATTGAAGAGGTGGATCCACCGGGTGGCAACTATGAAACGGGAAGTTCTTCCAACAACGATCAAGCACCTGCTTTTCCATGCAGATTACCTCTCAGGGCCCGAGGCAAGAGTTTGATTTCATATGACATCTTCAGTTAATCGTTTTGAGGTTTTAGCGGCCGGCCACAGGTCAACATGCGTATTCGTAGGCTGGTAAAGTGAGAAAACGTGAGATTCTTCTGATTGGTTGACCTGAGCCTGAGGGTATCCAAGCAGCGTGATGGTGTCTCCCCCTCGCTGTCTGCTGAGGTGGAGCTTAGCACGGTCCCCTCAGAGAGCTGCAGCTATAGATGGCTGTGCACTGAAGGGCGGACACACAGGACGAAGGAAAAAATTGATTGTCACACAGAACACAGACGAGAATGAAAAGTGTTGGTATGAAAAAGTATCTTTCAGCCCTCTTTAAAATATCAATTAGATCAGATCTCACTTAAAAGTCGTAGTTATTTTTTTGAATCACAAGACAAACACTGTTTTTTTAGACAACAAAATACACACGGACATCAGCCCGCACACAATTTACCATTCAAACTTTGGCCTCTGGTAGTGAAGGTTTCCACTGAGAAGTTGCAGTAATCCTACAGAGCCACCAGTATGTGGGCTGCACTGAGACTCAGCGGTGGTCTATTCTGACTGAAGTCCTGTACGTGGTGTGGACAAAGTCTGAACTGACACCATTAGATCCCAGCGTTTGGACACTGATGTGAACTGGGACACTCAGATCGACATTCTCCAGAATACACTGTAGAAACAAAAATTTGAATATGAATTGCTGTTATTAAGTTTAATTTTAGGAGTGATAACAGCTTTTAAAGAGCCCGATACCTTGGTGCACGCTGAGCTCATGACAGATTTGTGGAAGTCTCCATCTACAAACACCTGAGAGGTGAAAGGAAATAATAAGTACAAGAAGAAACAAATCATAAAGTCCACGTGTCAGTCGGTGTAGTTTCTGCCTACCCGGTATCCGTACACAAATGTGCCGTTACTGCAGCCCAGCTCGTCAAGTGGCGGCCTTTCCCAGCCAATCATGAGGCGGCTCTGGCCCACTGTTTTGATTACCTCAACAGATCGAACCTCAGCTGGAGCTTCTGGAGGTGATCGGACAAAAAAATAAAAAATCAAGCACAGTGCTCTATCTTTCTTGTACAATTCAATGCTTGTAATGCTGTGAACACGAGGTACAATACAACCTAAATGCACTCTAATCTATTTATCGCTTTGTTAATTGGCAGGTTTATTTTACTTTGAAATTCTACCAGAATAAAGTAACATAACAGGACTCGCAGCATACTGAACTTACTAATGAATCCAAGCAGTTTAGTAAAAGTTTATCATAATGTACTGCAGTGTGTTATTTATCTTATTTTATAAGACATTATTCCCATTACAAGAAACAGAAACAAAGAATGGTCCTTATCTAGACTGGGTATAATCACATTGCAGCAGTATGCAAGCAAAACAGTAATATAACCGCAAACTGCAATAATATGCACCGAAGCTATAACATGTACTCGCACAAAGTTTTATTGTCAAAAAGAAATCAGAAAAACAAGAATGTCTTCAACCAGGACTTTAAGCAAGGACGTGTGTGTTCTGCCTCTGTATAAACAATCTCAAATATTAAATAGGTGCATTACCTGGTGTGGGTCTTGCTGTCTTGGCCTTTTCTAGAGCTCCAGTGGATTTTCTGTCAGACTTGTTGGATCTCTCAGGAGAGCGATGAGCAGGTCGAGTGCAGGATGCAGCAAATACAGGTCCATGATATGCGGTTGTAGCACCATCCGTTTCAGGAGGCATGTGAAAACGATGAGCCTCGGGGGCAGTGGTGTCTGAGGCGGTGGTTTTTGGCGAAGTGTCGGAACATGTCAAGACATCAGAGTCAAAGGTAGTGGTCCTCAGAGTTAAAGGAGTAGAAGCTGTGTGTTTAGCATCAGATTGAGCCGGGATAGCAGTGCGTTTCTCTGCCAGCTTTGGGGATGTTGTATTAGTGCCACAGCTTGAGACGGATTTGGCTTTGCAAGGTGCCAATGTGGCAGAAGGAAAGTCAGAAGAGCTAGATAGAGCAGACGATGTAGTTTTAGATGCGTATGCTTTAAAGTTAGCAAACATGTTGGGACTCAATGTAATATTAGTGGATCGAGAGGCGACTGCATTAAAAAGTGTTGCTGACTTATTGGTTGTTGTCACTGTTGGAGTGTGCTTAGCTTGGCTCGAAGCAGCGGTGACTGGGAGAGAGTCGGTATGTGGTACGTCAGAGCTGAGGCTCTGCTTCTTCGTCTGAGAGGATGCTCGCAGGTCTGCAGAAGCTGAGAATGAGAGACTTTTCCTGGGCTGCTGTAACCTTCCTCTGCTCACTGGAGCCTTGAAATTAAGAGAAAAGCATTTATTAGACATGTACTAACATAACATTGAAATCAAACCTTGTAGGTTTTCGCAGACAAGGAATCTGTTTTTGTGCATAAAAATATGAATATATAGTCTTTTGTGCATACATCCCGATAGCTGCTCATTAGAGTCTTCTGTAGTTGCTCATGCAGGTTAATAATCTTCTCAGGACTACTCAGCCTCCTACTTGGACTGAAACGTGTGCTGGAGGAGGGAGGAGTCGGACTCAGTGAGGATCCTGTTGAACTGGTCGGATCTGGGGAGGAATTCCCTTTTGTATCTGAGTGATGAGATCCAAATTTCTCTGGTCCACTGGCAGAGGGCGAGGGCTGTGGTGGGATTGAGAAAAGGCAGATCGTAGTCTTTCTCCCAAATGAATTTACAATTTGAAGTACAAACAATTTTACAAGCTACACTGATATGTTAATGTCAAATTAACTGACATGACTTGTAAAGATGGCTGAGACTGTGGCAGCTTGGTGCTCATATGTACATGGGAAACAAGGGGAATTATTACACCAAGAAAAACCTCTTTCAATAACATATGGGCACCTGACTACTGTTTTACGAAACACTGTGAACCGATCTTTTCATGCTAACGTTCTTATTAGGACGGCATTTCCCATAAACCCAGTTGCCAACAGAATCTTTTACCCTTTGGTAAAGGTTTGCTTTACTGATAATAATAAATATGTTGAAAGTGATTGTCTTGTGAAAACATAAAAGAACAAACTATAAATTAATTGTTTTTTGTTCTGTAATATTTTAGATTAATTCAGGCATGGTAGCCAAAAAAAAATAAAAATACTATAAAAGCCAGGAACTGTGCCTGTCTTGTGTGTGAGACTGATTTTACAAAATGAATGCAGTGGTTTACTGTTTTGCTACATGAACAAACTTTAAGTCAATTGAAGAGAAAAAAAAGAGAAGTATTTTTGAGCATCATCTCACCTGAGCTCTATTGGAGATGAAGCTCTCTTTCAGTGCAGGAACAACAGGTGATGGTGTTGCTTGGACGCTGACATGCTCTTGCACTGCTGAGGTTGGCACAGGTGAGTTGGCATTTTTCTTTCGTATTTCTGTTGGTGCAGGTGTGACTCCACTACGGCAGTCTTGACAATTTGTTTCAGCGGTGACTAAAGGTGTGTGTTTTTCACTTTTTACTTCACTACATTTTACCCCGGATTCCGCTGTGAATCCATTTTGGTGTGGCTGCTTTACAAGTGGGGGTATAGTAGAGCACGTCTGATCAGGTGGGAATCCACTGGTGTAGTCTTGGAATTTGGAAATAAATCCCGATGTAAACCCGGTGGTGTTATCTTGGGTCTTTACGTCGCTGCATGGTGTGAATGCTGCGGTGTAGTTTTGCAGAGCAGTGTCACTGAGCAGCTGCTCCACCTGATGGGTGAGTGTGGAGTCCGCACAGCCGCGTCTGTGCATTGCCTTCATCATCTGTACCAACAAGCTGCTCCTCTCCTGACACTTTACCACCAGAAAAGACAGCTTGGCCTGTTATTGGACAAAACACCTGTCAGTCAAACTCAACTGCTCAGAGCAGTCCAACAGAAAATGTGTAATATGACAATAGGAATGGAAAGCTACATCCGTCTTTCCTCACCTTTAGAGGAGCTGTTTCCAGATCATTCTGGCTCCTCATTTTTAGGGCGTCATACTAGTTAAAAAAAGAGAAGAAACTACAGTTTAAAAATCACAACATAGAACTAACTGCTTAGACCGCAAAGCCACAGCCGACTGGTTACCCACCTTAGCTCTGATGTCGTTATAACGTGACCTGAGTGAGATGAGAACAACGCTCAGATCATCTTTGCTGCCCTGCCCTCGTTTTAGAGCAATATACTCTGAGTTTAGCTCCTCTAGGGCCACCGTCTGTGAGGTCACACACACACACACACACACACACACACCTGTAATAAGAACTCTCATTTCTATGTATTATCGATTACTGCTCACTTATAAAGCGGTCTAAACATTATCAAAAGTCAAACATCTGAAGAACAGTGATGTTCTGAAGACCTTCAATATAGTGAAACCCGTAAAGTGTAGAATGTGAGTGTGAGTACACAAACTTAAACTATACCTTAGCTTTGAGCTGAGCTGTGAGGACTTTGTATTGCTCTTCTATTTGTGCCTTCAGTGACAGAGCATCGGTCCTCTCCCTGACCAGGCCTGTCTCTTTGCTCTGCAGCTCCTTCACCTGCGGCAGATACAAACACTGGTTAGGTCTCACAGACCAATAGCAGACAGACACAGATGGACAATGTGTTTATCTGGGTTTGCACCTAGAGGTAAAGTTAGTGAAAAGCAAAACAACAGGGTGTCCAAACTACGAGACATATTTACAGCTTAAACCCTACGTGTATGTTTTTAATGTGTGCATGTTTTTGGCTGTCTGTATGGTTAAATACCTGGGTTATGAGGCTGTCATTTTCCATTCTGGTTTCTTTCATTTGATGAGCTTCATCTGTCAACCTCACCAACTTTTCAACTGCTTCGGCCGCCTTTCTCTCCGCCTCCTCCCTCACGGCATCTGAGTGACACAATTCACTGCGAAGCCACTTGGTCTGAAAATGCCACAAACATTAACACGAACACGTTAAGTTGGTGAGATCTCCAATGATGCACCGCTGTCCTGTAAATACGAAACAGACTAAAATAGATCTGTTACTAAGTGACACCTGCATTTCAACTTCCCATGAAAAACCAAATTCCAAGCCAATAGGATGCTGTGTCTGCTCTTTAAGGTTAAGATTAACCAACTAAATGGAGTGAAAATGATGATAACAAAAACACTAAAGTGGACCTTGAGTTGGGAATTAATATTATTTAGTTTAATCAACGGAATGTCTGAAGTTGCAACCACAACAAACATCCACAAACGTTACTGAAGAAAAGATAAGTTGTGTAAACTCACGTCTACGTGGCTCTTGTCCAGTTCGTCCCGTGACCTCTTTAGTTCTGCTCCCGAAGCTTCAATCTCCCTCATCAGATCACTTTGCTCCTGCTTTCCATCAAAAACATGTTGCATAAGTGCACAGTGATCCAACATAACGACACACTGTGAGCAACAATGTTTACGGATATTTACCTTGACACAACAGACACTAGCATAAAGCACAAAGGCATGAATCACACCACTCGTAATACCTGTACAGAGCTTCCCCTGTGGTCATGAGCCAGACATCTCTGTGTAGCTCCTGTTCCAGCAAGGCTCCCCGTCTTCTTTGTCGTAACGGCACACTTCAGATTCAGCAGATGCTGCTTCTGATTGCTTCCCTCTGTTTGCGTTTGGCTGGGCAGAGCAGCTTGGAGGATGTTTCTTTCCTCTCTTAGGCCCTGAAGTAATAGCTTTATCTGTTCTTCTTCCTGTTTCAAACAACTGATTGAACGATCAATTCTTTCTTTATCTTCTTTCAAACCTGATTTTATTAACTTGTCGTGGTCTTCTTGGGAAGTGTAAGATGATCGTTCTTTGTCTCTCTGCTCCTTCAGACACTTAAGGGAATTGGTGAGCTCATCTCTTTCTTGTTTCAAACAGAGCACCGCCTGGCTTAACTGGGCACTCTCTGTCTGTGAACTCTGTAGCGACTGCATGATTTGATCTCTCTGTTCTTTGCCACTTGAGAGAGATTCTAACAGTTTGTCTTTCTCTCTTTTGAAACCTGATAAAGACTCTTTCTCCTCTTTCAGGCCACTCATAGACCTGATGAACTGGTCTCTCTCATCCCTCAGCCCACAGACTGTCCTGGTAAGCTGCTCTCTCTCTTGTTTGAGACCAGCCAGAGATATCGAGATGCCGTCCTTCTCCTCCTTCAGTCCCCAAACTGTCCGAGTTAACTGCTGTTTGTCTTCCGTTTGTGTTTGGACTGACAGAGCCACTTCTCTCTGCTGCTCTCTGAGAGCATTTATGCAGCCTGACAGTTCCTCTTTTTCTGTATTGAGGCTCTGGACCGACTTGGTGAGCTGGCCTACTTGATCAGTCAGTGAACTAACATGCAGACTGCTTTGCAGGCTGTTCTGCAGAGGATCATAGTGATTGTCATGCTGAGAACCAGGTGCTGAAGCTGCAGTCAAATCTGGTTGATGACTGGACATCAACTGTGGCTCTTCCCCGTTTAGCACACTTTCCACCAAACTGTCCACACATTCTTCTACGTTGTTCTGTTGAAAACCTCCAGATATTGCAGCTGTATATTCACTTTGCAATTGAGATCCACACAGTTTCTTGGCAACCTGCGATTCCTCCGTACGCTGCTCACTCTCCACTAACCTTTGCTGCAGATCCATGATGGTATTGAGATCATCCTCAGTCTTCTTGGTGAGTTCTGTAATCAAACACTCGTGTTCCTGGTTCTCCTGCTCCATCCGGACTCTGTTGCCCTCTAGCTTGGAGACATGCTCCGTCAGCTGTGTTTGCTCCCTCTTGATCTCTTCTTCTCTGAGCTCAATGTGAGCCAGAAGCTCCTGGATCCGGTCCGCCAAGGCCCGGTTCTCCTGATCCAGGGCCTGGACAAGATCATCCTGGGCGATGATGAGAATGGCGGCATCTTCAGCTCCATTACTGGCAGGTAGTGTGCTAATCTGAGTATACAAAGAGGTAGAATTTGTGATATACTGGAAAACTGTGTAACTGAAAGTTTATCATTTCAGCTGTGTACAAAAAAAAGGGAATATTGCAACCCCTGTGACATACCTTTTCTCTTGAAGTCCCCTGCTCCGCCTCCGATTCTTGTCCCTCTTTCCCGAGTTGTAATTTCAGTTGAGTATTCTCTTGAGCCATCATCTGTAGCTGCTCCTGTGCCTGCTCCAGGGCGACCTTCAAGCTGTCACGTTGTTCTTGATGTGCTTCGAGATCCTCCCCCAAACCCAAGCTCCTGTAGGCTTCCCTCAGGGCATCAGATTCCTCACTGGGGCTTTTCTCCAGGTTTAGGATCCCTCTGGAGCACCAGGTCCCCAGTTTGAACTCCTCTAGTGTCTCTGTAGTCAAGGAGAGTGACTGGAGGCTGGGGTTGGTTTTGGAGCCAAGGTGGGAAAAGATTTTAGGTGGAGTTGATTCAGATTTGGTGGATGAGGACCGATACTCTGTGTTGTTTTGCAGTCTCTCTGCTTCCTCCTGGTGGTGAACTGGTGGAACTGCAGATGAATGAGGCTGGCTTGTTCCCTCACCCGACGTTAGATGTACCTACACAGAGATCACAGTTGAGGGACATGAGTTGAGAATCATTCATGCAAAAATGAAAATGTCAAAACACTTAATAGAACATGATCCAAATTCATGTCTCAGTCGGCTATAGTGATATATTTATATGTAGATATACCTGTATAAGCATTTACAAAAGGGGAGTTGGTTATATAACACCCTAAATCCTCGCAAGAGAGCTTTCATTCTTTATGCCGTAATACCGTGTCAAAAAATAACAGAAAGGAATTTACAACATTGAGCCAATGTTAACACCAGATCTAATATTAATGGGCCCTTCAGATATTTTTATTGGACGTGAACAACTGGTTAAATTAGTCACATAAAACACCAAAATCTACATTCAAAATAATAATCGATCAGTTGAACAGTTAACAGTCTTAACGTTTTTTGTTATCAACGAATATAAGTTGTACCAATAGTTATTTACTGTAAATGTAAATACTGACCTGTAAAGACTTCCACTACTTCGCACCTTGTAAATGAAATGAACTACAAATAAAATGGATGTCTCAACCTATTGGATGAATTTAAACTTTTAGTTTTGGACATTTGAAGAGACGTCTGCATTTAGTTGTTGGTCTATTGTGCCGTACTCAGGTCTTGATCTCAATGAGACTACCTGATTAAATAAAGGTTAGAAAAATAATAATCATGTCTTACGCACCTCTCCAGAGCTCCCCACTGAGAAGTGTCCCATGGCAGTGGTATATGAGAGAGTGTTGGACCTAGGACTCGGGCATGTGGACTCAGGCACCGTGAATGGCTGACTGGCTGTTTGGTTAGCTGGATCCCTCAGTATCTGCTGGAGTTTGTGGTTCTCCTCTTTCAGCTCTTCAACCTCCTCCATCAAGGACTTTTCAGACAGCTTCAGCTGCTGCACCTCTGCTTTCATCCCTTCCACCTTGCAGCCCAGGAAGTGGCTGTTCTCCTGGGCCTCCTGGAGCTGCTCCATCAGTCCCCTCCGCTCTGTCATCCCACCCTCCTCTCTCTCCAGCAGCACCCTGAGATCCTCCTGCAGGCTCAGGATGAAGCCTTGCAGCCTGGCTTCATTTGAGTTTGTTTCTTTGACTCTTTCTCCTTGTATCTCTTTCTCACCTTCTAGCCCTCCTTCTCTCTTATGCCCCACACTTGGCTGCCATTGCCTCCTCCTCTCCTCCTTTCTCTCCTCCTCTCCTTCACCCTCTCCTCTCATGGGAGGCAGCCTCTCTTGTCCTTCCCAGTGTGTTACAGTCCCGGCAGTAATTCTGACTGCACTGATCGTTGCGATGCCAGTGGCGGCACTCACAGTCATGTCCAGCAGCTGCTTTTCTAAAGTGTAGATCCTGTTCTGTAGGCTCTGCTCTCTGTCCCGGGCCAGGCTGACCTTGTGCTGGAGTTGGGTTTTAAAGTTCTCGAAGTACTGCGACTGGCGACTCATCTCCTCCTCTTTGGCCTTCAGCTGCCGCTGACAGCGCTGCAGCCTGTCCCTCCAAACCTGCTCCCCTCGCTCCTTGTCCTGGGTCTGGGTCGGTGGGAAGAGAGAAGGTTTGAGAAGGAGAAAAAATAAACCTATGTCACTGAAGTCAACCTCACAAGACTCACACAACCATTACAGTCTTCATGTTTTACAGTTTGTGCAGCCATGCCTGTTGATGCATTCAGAGATCCTGAGCACTCACCATGGTCCTGACCTCCTCCCTGAGCCTGTGTAGTCTCTGGTCCAGTCTCTGGGAGTGTTGCATGCTGGGACGGTGAGAGGCAGAGGCTAGCTGATAGAGCTGTAGCACCAGGCTCCTCTCTGACCTCACTAACTCTCCGATCCTAACACCACAACACAAGACAGACGAGCTCACGTTACATCGTATTCACTACTTAACACTAATTTGCACATTGACATAAAGCTGGAAGGTTTACTCACCTTCCTCTTTTAATTTGATCTCAATATCTACAAATTTCATTCTGTTTTACCTCCCACTGCGAGAACAGATGACAACATGCAAATAAAATCTCCTACAGCGAGTAATTCTAACGGATATTAGCGGCAGCGTGCTCGCAGGCAAGTGTGCCGTGCAGGCAGGTGTGTGTGTGATATGCGATATCACTGTGGCCAAAAGTGAGTATATAGTAGCAGGTAGGTGTGTGTGTCACTGGATCCCCTCTCCCCCAGCCTCTCACCTGTTCCTCAGGTAGCCGTCACACTGTTGGGTTGAACCTGCACTCTGCTCCAGGTCACTTCCCATGGAGTCTGTTGCCATGGTAACAGAACTGCTTCCGGTACCCGTCGTGTCTGATGAGGTCATCTGATCCTCCATTGGTTAGCCTGTGCCCGCTAGGTGAGTGTTACCTGTGGGACAGGGAGTGATGGTGTCAGTTAAGCAAAACAGGGAGAAATGTATCTTCTCTGTGATGCTTGTTTTGTTCTTTTATTATTTGCACGTCCGTCATCAACACACTGACGAAGACAAAGATAAACACGGACAATAAAAAAAAAATAAGAAACACAAGTACAAAATACAGTCATCTATTATTCACCATGTCAACAGCTTGGTAGCAAGTTTGAGGTATCGCTCAGGTTACCCCGCCTCCTAATCATTCCGTCTCCTCCTGCACCCCCTAACGCATCTCACAAATCCTCCAACCCCAAAAACGTAAAGGACCGGTTCAAACTCTTACTCACATGCCCCGATGTACACTGAAACAGTTTTTGGTTGCTGTAATACCGAATAAGTAAGCCAGCGAGCAGGTTTGAATAATGCATAACTAAATACAGGCAGGAATACAAAAGTCAATGGAAAACAAAGTCACATTCGTATCATAAGAAAATCATTACTTTGCAGATGTTGTATTCTAAAAACAGTTTAAATCAGCTGCTGTAGTGATTAATGTACAAAGGAGTGAATTCTCAAAGGTAAACTGAAAACACAACCTGTTTTTTGCGCTCCTTTGATTGTAGTTTCCTCTTCTTAATGCAGCGACGAGCTTCCAGTAAGTTCAGCTTCAGCTCGGAGAACTTCGTTGCGCTGCTGTTTCCTTAGAAACGCCTCAGACGTTGGACTTTGCCAGAATCCTCCATCTCCAGTTGGCACTCAGCTTGGCCCCCCCCCCCTCCCCTCACTCAGCACTGTGCTTTCCCTCTTCTTCTCCTCCCTCCATCTCTCCTTTTCTTTTGTCCAGCTGGGCCTTCTGTCAGCTGAGGCTGTGGCTCTTGTCTCTTTAAAAACAATCCTCTGATTCAGAGTTTTCTCTCAGTAAATCCATGTGGTTGCTTCTCACAGAGGAGTTTTTATGTTCCAGGTCCAAGAACCACGATAGTAAATGTTATTCATAAATAAATCTCACTTTAATCTCATGTATATCTGGTTACTTATTACAGTTTCAAATATGTTTGCATTCCAGGTATGGGTCAAAAGTGCACATTTATCAAAAAGGCAATGGGGTTTCCATGAGCTGTCTACAAATGCATAAAAAACAACTAGGTTTAGTTTCGTCCTCGCCTGCTTCCAAAGCAGCTTAACACCTAAGAGAAAGGACACAGATTCTTTCCTCATCATTATTGTTACTAGCAACGCTATAACTGTCATAAATACTGACATGACACAGAGAATAAAGGTGCTACCTGATGTGGGTCCACGGTCACTTTCATTAAGGCCAAAGAATAAATGCTAAAGAGAAAAACAAAAAGAGGAACAAAAACTAAAGGAACAAAAAGGGGTTTAATCAATAGGTGAAAAGGGGAAAGAGAAAGACAGTCAAGAAGTTAATACAATAACACACGTCATCAGTACAGAAGATGCAAACTCCTTCACATTCTCTCTTGATAACCTTTCTCTTGTCACGTAACACACAGACTCTACCAGCCACAAGAGAAAGCTTCAAAAGATAGAAACAAACAATGTGAATATGTACCTTTTCCTCTATTTCCTTTACTTGTCTCTTTTGCAAGTCAAGCCTGTCCTCCAGCTCTCTAATCCTCTGCAAGGCAAACACAGACGTGGTTAGTGTTGGCCAGATCTCACACAATCTAACAAAAGAAAGAGTTGCTAAACAGATAATAAGACCGGAATCCAACTATTCCCGCATACACTCTAAATACTCTGCCTCCTTCCCATCATGCCTTCTGTCTCCATGGTAGCTGCATTGGGTAAGAATGAGCTGCCATGGCAACCGAAGAGCAGATTTAACAGTGAACAGTGACTCCATCAGTGAGACTTAAAGCCCGAGCAGCTTGTTCACCGACTGCAGGATAACATATTAGTGTTAAATCTTTCATCTAGCTGGAGTATATATATATATATATATATATAAAAGATACAAATTAATTGGCAAACACACACAGACAGACTTGGAATTTTAAAACTAAAAACAGCTTTTTAATTAAATATCATCTGCTCCAAATGTATCTTTGGTGGAGCTGATGCTAAACGCTTCAACCAAACACAGCTTTACCATTCTGTAATAAAAACAAGCAGGTTCAGTCTCAATTACTAGAACATCGAGTCAGCCAGGACATTTAAAGCCCGACTGTGAGGAAACTTTTGGATCAATCTATAAACTGAAACAATATTTAGTTAGTAAGTATATTTCAGGAGTAGCTGATTGTGTTTTAAGTGTTCTATGGTTAGAGATTAGGAAAACCATGTTAGTAAGTTACAGTACAACTGATTCAAATCAAATCTAAGGTGCAGTGGTTGTTGATGTACTGGATGAATCACATATACTGTACGAGCCATGGGGGTAAAACTAATGTGGGGACTGCAGAGTGGAGGGATACGGAAGGAGTGTGTGTGTGTGTGTGTGTGTGTGTGTGTGTGGGAGGGGGGTATTCAGATCACAATGATATACACACACTCACAGACACAAAGTCATTCTGTCTCATCCTGTCACTCTTCTACATATAAACGTACAGATAGGGTTACAGGTTGCACACACAGGGATACTGCATCTTTCTCATAGCACCAGAGGTCTGTGGGGTCAGACGTTTCAGACAGGTACCAGGGGTCAGATTGAGGGAGGGCAGGACTCAGTAATCTGACTTTATTGGTTTTAAGCCTTACCTGCTGGGCCTGCTGTAGGAGCTCCATGCGCTCCTGTAAGATCTGACTGTCATACTGCCGGCTCTGCCGGAGAATCTGACGCCGCAGCTTTTCCACGGCTAGCCTCAGCTCCTCCCTCTGCCTGTCTGTCAGCGACTCGGCCACCGCCTGGCATGCCGGCTGCTCCTGCTGCAGAGCGCTATACAGCGTGGCCTCCAGCTCCTCGATCCTCTGCACAGCCAGCCACACACAGGTACACAAACATACACACACACACACACACACACACACACATGGACGTGCACATGCGCATGCAGAAACACACACAGGCATGCACAGGCACACACATGGAGGCAAGCATACAAACGGATACACATATGCACACAAAAGCACACACACAAATACACCACTGTGACCATGGCAGATATGAGGAACATTGTTCCACTTTATATTAAGGGTTATTTAGGCTCGACCGTCACATGGCAACTTCATTATATCAACAACACAAACCGTGTTTTTATTCTGTCCCCTACAAATGAATTCAAGTTGCCCGACTGTTCCAGCAGAGTTACCATTTTAAACAAAACAAGCTTTCACCAACACAATATAAAGTGGAACCATAAAGACAAACCAAAATAAAACTGACCAGGTCAGATGGTTAGAGTTATATAGAGAGTGACCTAAGTGTTAACTTTTGTTTTCTGGGTGCAGCCTAATTAAGTCAGGAGGGGGAGAATGTTTTAAGATCATTCATGCTAACAAAATCTAACTTCAACTTCACCAGTTGTCTACTTGAAGCAAGTTACACAGGATATTCATGCAGGCATTTCATCTTCACATTTTCTACAATTTTAGAGGACTTTAGACTGGCCTTCTCAGAAGATACAAAGAGCATTAGACCAATAAACAAGAAGCCAAATATCAATTCAGTGCCTAACATTGTTGACAGAATTTAGACTTCAGTGGTAAAAGATGCAGTATCCCAACACAATTTTACCTTTATGGAGGACGTTGCATTCATGAGGTTAAATGGGGTTCCAAATGTTTATGTCATGCTGGAATGACAATGTTGCACCATATGCATCCCTGAATCACTTCATCATGAAGCTTTATTCCTTGTATACAACCTTGGTTAATGTTGTAATCAATATAAATGAGTGCATTTTGTCTATTTGAGAGGCTTTGGTCAACTTATACTGCTCCAGGCTCCGTACCATGTAGGACTGATCCAAGGCCTGCTTCCTGTAGTCCAACTCTTCCTCCAGGAATCCCTTCTGCTTGCTGAAAAGCTCCTGCAACAAGATGTGATCATATTTAACACAGGACACGGTGTCACAAGTGAACAGAGGAGAACAGTACATACTGTAGAATCAGGAACATTTTACATCTGGGTGCTTTTTGACATTACAACAGCACAAAAATAAATAGATTATTCACCTTTTCATTTTCCAGGTCGATCATCTTCTGTGTGAGGGCGGTCTCTGTGCAATCTATCTGCTTCAACCACTGTACAGGGAGGAAAGGCGAGTGATTAATGCGTTCTCAGAAGCTAAAATAGCTGTATTATTATCATCCATGTTTAACTTTACAGTTGACTCGAATGTAGTGGCTGTTTTCAGAATAAATTAAGTATTATGAATACGTGTGTCCACTGGGTGTCAGCAAAAACCCAACATGTCTGAAAGGCCTTTCACTCACCTTTTCACACAGTGAGATCACTGTCCCTGCTTGGATCACCGCTACCTGCTCCTCATTTCTGAGATTCTACAGGAAACACAACAGAAGTTATAAGAGTCTGAAATTCAAGAATACCAGATTTAAAAAAACATCTATCTTATTTCAATCCAACAGTGTGTTTGAACTCACCCCGTTATCCCCCAGGATATCCAGTTTCTTCATCAGCTCAGGAATGATTACATCCTGCAGGTCAAAACCAGACATCATGTTGACTGCGTGTCATCTCAAAGGGAAAATAGTGTGCGTTTGTGTGTTTTATCACCTTGACTCCCTCCTGGCGACAGTAGCTCTGCAGGGCACTGCTGCTGTTCTCAGGGAACGCAGACATGTGAAGATTGAGGGCAGGAGATCTCCGCTCCCTCTCCTAAAGAAAGTACATACCATGTGAATACTCACACACACTCACACACACACACACACACACACACACACACACACACACACATCTAGAAACTTCATGACATCTGCCAGACTACAAGTCCAACTGTAATGTAATAGCTCATCTTAACACTGATGGAGGCGCACTGCGACTGACAGATACTGAATGTAACCGAGTGTGAAAAGGGAGTGAATGAGTGATTTACTTACATGACACTGAAAACATGGTCGGGATCTGCCAAAATGAAACCCATAGATTTAAATGGGAAACCAAACCACAAACAACGAGGGAGTTTGAAAACACATGCTGAAACTCAAAACTGAGAATGTGATCTCAAACAGATGCCACTCCGTCTACATTCAGGCACACCCGACACATAACCGCAATATCAACCGATATGAATGCCTTTCAACCTCTAGATCAGTAACCTAACTTGTTTATTAACCCTAATACTAAAGAATAAAATATTAAAATCTGTAAATTACACTTCACTGTTCATCATTCCTTAACCATCCATGGACATTAGCTGTAATCGTATGGAAAATGTAAACAAAACGTAGGACACACATGCAAAAATGAGAGACAAAATGAACATAGATGGGATTGAATATTGAACTTAAATACATTTTTATTCAATTAAAAATTACATTCATCTTAACACAACATACTCTCATTAAAAAAATATTCCAGTTCAGTGGAGGGGGTGTGCACACAGCTGCCATGCAAAACACAGATGCATGAAGAGGAGGACTGTGTGAGTGCGTCTGTCTGTCTCTCCGTCTGTCTGAGTCACTGTATGTAGGTCTTGCGTCTGGAACTGAGATTGTTGTTGTCGCCTCCAGGTGACAGTTTGACAATGGTACAGTCTCTTACTTCCAGTTCAAGCACCCTGAACTCCAGCAGCTCATTCTGATCCCGGGCATCCTGAACCTCGGCCTGCAGCTTCGACTCCGCCCGCTGCAACACACACATCTACACACACACACACACACACACGCACACACAAACAAACCTTTGTTATAATGGTTTGACAAGGTTTACAAAGCATTATGAACACTAGATAAGGAATGTCCTGTAGATATCATAGTTTAGATAACTAAGAATCATCCCAAATTATCTCATAATAGCATTCAATCTTCTGAAAATGAATTTTACTTTTTTTCTTCAAATTATGGCCAACTCATATTACGGGTTTCAAACCTTTTTGGGATCAACTTTAGTACAATTAATAGAAAATTGTCAAATGCTGACAGCTGGTATTGAATACTTGCCTAAAGAAATGAGTATGGACTAATGCAATCTACCTTCTCGCGAAGTTCCTGGTTGGTCCTGAGCAAGTACTGCTTCTCCTCCACCCACTTTGAATCCTGCCACAACAACCAAACACAACATCAGCAACAAATGACACCGTCAGGAAGAGAAAAGGAAGGGAAGCATCCACAACACCATCAAATATACTTCCAAATGACACATGCAAGTGAGACACAGACAGGAACAGAGTGGCAGTGGCAAAAGTTTATTGATCCAGAGAAATAAAGAGCTCTCTTTAGATGACACGTAAAGGAGCTGCATTCACAGTCATCAAGCGTTGACAGTAACAGGAGGAACAGAAGGCAATCCGAGGGGAAAAACAGCAGAGCAGCAAATCAAATTCACAGATGGATCAAGCCACAGTGGAACAGGCAACATGCAGAAAACGTGCAGTGACAAATAAGAAACTAAGAGTAGTGATATGAGTCATAATAAGTCCAATGTTCCTCATGATAGTCAGTAGGTAATAATTAAGGTGCTAAATGATAAAGTTCTTTTAATCTACTTAGATTGAGAAAATAGTCGTTTTTTTTCTACATGAAAAGGTCTGGCTTAGTTCTCAGACCAAGATGTTTTATGATGACTTCTGTACATCCATCTATTAAGTCTTTAATTAACCTAAGCTGCATGTCTGTGGACTGTGGGAGGAAGCCGGAGAACCCAGACAGAACCCACGCAGAGCATGCAGACTCCACACAGAAGGCCCGTCCAGCCTGTGAATGGAACCCAGGGGGAGTCCTCTTGCTATGAGGCAACGGCACCACATCATCATGCAGCAGCGTTTTCATAATCAGAAAAGGTAAAACATTACTGGTTTAAGATTTTGTATATATGTATTGCATTTTAATTTTTTTTAATCTGACCTGCCGTTTTCAATTTTTTCAGATTCCGATTTTCTTTGTAGGAATTATAATTGATAGTTAAATGTATTATTGAAGAATAATTTCAACTGTCCTTAGGTCACTGTAATCCGTCAAAAAATTGAAATGTTGTCTTTTTACTTTATTGTCATCTATAGTCGTTATTTTACACAATCCAAATGATTAGGATGTAAATGATTGTATTTTTATCTAAAAACTTTTGATTAAAAAAAACATCTGTGCAGTAGTAGTTCTAACTATGTATTATACGATGTTTAGAGCTAGTGTTAGGACGTTAAACCGGTCAAAGCCCTAGTTCCCTCTCCGACATATTTTTTATATATTGCTGTAAAAACATCTCCTTCAAACAGCATTATTTATGCATGTTTCTCACCGAAAACTAAATTTCACAAAATTATATTTGAATACATCATGATAGCGTTTGAATTTACCTTCGCCTAATACTCATTTTTACTGAAGTGCTGGAACGCATCATAATGCAACCAAATGCAACCTCCGTTAACATTAGCTGGGTTGCTGTTGCTCCACGGCTTATTTTGGACTTGCAGTTGTGCAGTTGTGCCAATTTGTGAGCTTTTTCATTCACGTTGAAGAACGTCCACACTGACACATGGCCGATCAGCTGAAAACCGGACGCTAACAATCGGCAGCCGATCGATTGGTGCATCACTACCAGTGTATCAATGTCTTCATAGCTGACAGGAACCAGAGTGGTTTAAGCCTCCTCTCAGGGCTCATCATCATTGAAAGGCCCCATAATAAGAAACAGCACCAACAAGGAGGGACAGACTGTGCGGAAGAACATGCGGAAGTGACATCAGAGGATTCTGCGGCAGACCCGGTCAGCATAGCGCCCGACCAGGAGCAGAGCAGCCAGACAGACATGCAGGAGGGCCAGCGAGCTCCTGTCACCATCCCCCGTCTTTGTTACCTGCCCCCTCTCGGCCAGGGCCTTCTCCAGGTCGACCATCTTGGCCTGGCAGCTGCAGAGCTCAATCTGCATCTGCTCACGTGTCTGTGGAGGGAGAGATCAGCAATCAGGGAAGATGCAACTTTACATTCCTAAAAACATATACTTTAATAATTTACAGTATATTCACTTCCTGATGTCCAAAGTACGTATAGTTTTTTTGCAAAGGAAAGAAAGACATTTGTTGTTGGATCATGGCTAAACGGTGCAGAGTGATAAATGTGGCAGTACAAACCCTGGCCTCCCTCTCAGCATCCAGACAGCCCCCTGTCTGCTCTTGGAGAAGAGCATAGGCCCGCTGGAGAGCCTGGTACTCTCTGGTCAACTGACGGAAACGAAGCTCAGACTCTTCACGGCAAAAGGTCTTTATGCAAGGAAAATATAAATTAAAGATATTAAATGATATATTAAAAAGAGACAGGGTCAAACAAACACACAAGCCTTTACCAAAACAAAATATAAGCCCATCAGTTATCCTCAGGTACTACACTCAGCACGCTGGAGCCCCCCAAAGTTGAGTGCAGAGCCCACTGCTGTACTCCTTATACACATCAGACTGTTTGGCCAAACACAGGTCCAACACCACAATAAAGTTGGCTGATGATGACACAGTCGTGGTGGGCCAGATCTCAAATGAAGACGAGGCGGTATATCTGGAGGAGGGGGCTATCTAACCCCCCCTTTCCAGACATCAGTAAAACCAAAGAGCTGATTGTGGACCGTGCTGGGCAGCGTCAAAGGTCTTACATGCCACTGGAAATCAACAGGACTCCAGTTTGACCAGCTTCAAGTACCCTGGGGTGCATATTATCGAGGACTATAAATGGACGACCCTTTAACTTTAAACTATGTTTACTATTTTGTATACGTTTACTATTTTGTATATTTAGCTCATTCTGGTACATTTTTTACAGGTGTTTTGTTTACTTAGCTATTTATAATTTCTTCTACTTGTACAACATTTCACTTTAAGTAACTTACTTGCATGTGTCAATATGTGACAAATATAATCTCTTGAATCTTATATCTCAATATTTATGCAGATACATCTTTCAGTTGTTAGAACTGTAGAATATAGTTTAAATTCTTTCAATGTAGACGGAGGATTTCCGTACCTCTTCCAAATCCTCCTCTGGAGTTGCAGGCGTGCGGTCAGTGAGGTCAGTGTTGTAGGAGGTCAGAGAGGAGGTCTCAGAGTCTATCGACTCCTCGTCAAATCCAAAATATGTCTCCACAACATGCCTCTGCAAAAAGGAAGAAGGGAAAACAGAGAATAAGCACATTGTTAAATAAAACCCATACATTTTGTTTGAATTCAATAAAGCTAGTAAATCCACCACACGTCTACCTCCGTTTAAGAAAAAAAAGAAAGCTTCATTGTTTTGCTTATTCACCAACATTTTGTCTATAACTTGTGAAAACAAGGCAAAGTAAATCTGATCAGATCAGGTTTGTTTCTATCAACGTTTTCAAAGCCCACCGAGTCCTTACCATCATGTTTATAAGTCATCTCCTGGCAACCAGAGAAGTACAGGCAGACGAGGGCACAGAGGCAAATAAAGGTCGAGAAGTAGAGGATGAGTAGGATGTACTCTGTCATGTTGCTACTAAACACCAACACAAACCGATAAAGAATATCCCCAAAATAAGTCTATCGTATCTCGGGCTGTACCAGCTGATATGTACAGAGCTCCGGGGCCTTTAGTAACGTCCAGAAAGCGCAATTGCTTTCCGTTGCACTCCCACACAGAGTGAAAAAAAAGACAACAAAGCTTCTGTTTACAATCAAAGTACTCCTACAGAAAAAACTAAACGCCAGCTTCTGCTTTTTGTCTCCAAGCTCTAGTATGCAGTCCAATAAAACAAAAGCCGCTCTGCCAAACCTGTATCCACCTCGCCAAGGTGACAAACTAGTTCTAGCAGGAGAGGTGGGAGAAAACAACTGACATGCATCAACAAACTCCTCCTAGCAACATCATAGAAAATGTCCCCTGGTGTTTTAGTCCAAACATGCATACACCCAATTAGTTACCAGAATCCCTTTTCTCTCTTTATTCACACACAGGGAAGCACAGATAGAAAGACACAAACTGTTGCACACAAGTTAAGTTAAACATGGTCGTATAATAACACTAAATACATTAAATTAAATAAAGCAACAACGAAAATAAACAAATAATTGTCCTCTAGCTATGGTGGTTGGTTCATGCAGGAGCTGCATGTGTGCTCAGCGTGATGCTCCCACCTGTGAGGGATACTGTCATCACTGCCTCCTGAGCCCAATTAAACTCAAACAGGCTCAGAGACAGACACACACACACACACACACACACTCAGATCAGTCAACCTCAGATAAGGTAGTTGCTTAGTTATGCACCACTGGCCATTTGAAAACACTTACTTTAGACAGTTTGAGAGGTTTCCTCCGGTTCTTTTTGCCCATCACCAATCGGTCACGTTCCTGAAGGCAAACACACAGTCGATCAGCCTCACGTCTGAGCTTTAGACGCGGTGAGCTGCATCGGCTTCACACGGCTCCATCAAAACAACAACCGGCATCACAATATAGTACGTCATGCAGCAGTGTCTGCAAACAAGAAAATGAAAATCAAACTGTACTGATAATTGAGATGAAGTGGTAACGGTGGACAGTAAACAATATTATCATAAGAATAAAGCATGGAGGTCGATTCCCTTGTGATGAGTCGGGCTGTGATGAAGGTTCAGAAAATAGTGTTGGAAGATGAATAAATGAGACGTTCTCTGCTAATTAGAGATTGTGTTGAAATCTTCGGACACCAATAAGACATTGCACCAAACAACTGCCTCTTCTGAAAATATATAACCTATTCCTTTAATCCACAGGGATCCAAAAGGCACAGAGGAAGAAATGATGGGCTAGTGCTGGTAGTCCCTGGTGAGCCAAAATGTCTTATGGAGATAAACTCACAACACAGATTCAGATTATCTGACAGCCTCTACCGACCAGTCCTCTCCCATAATACGACAATCTTTGATTCTTTTCCAGAAAATCTTCCAGGTTATATGTTAAAAGCAGCAAAACGTGACACACATTAAAGTCAATTAGAATTTGGATTGATTTCTTCACAAAATATAATGTGGTTTGAGTCAAATCCGGACCTGCGTGAGCTCGTCAATGATGCCACATTGCTCCGAAACCTGCAGCTTTAGGAACTCCACTTCCTGTTCCTCGTGGGCATGGCTCAAGTCTGTCAGGGAGCTTGGCCGCCTCAGCTGCGACTGAATGGATTGTTGCTGTGGGGGGGGGCCGAGAGGAGGTGGCTTTTTCCTTCTGAAGGAGAGAGACAGAGAGAGAGAGGCGTCACGTAATGATTGTTGAGAGAATTATTTCATGCTTCTCCTCAAATAGCTAGCTAGTAGAGGGCTCGCTGCCTTTTTGGTGACAGAGAGAAGAGGAAACCAACCGAGGGTAGTGGTAGTAAAAGATATTCTGAATGCATCTCACCATCTCGGCGTTGTCTCGGCTCAGGTTCTTCAGTTTCTCCTCCATGCGTTGCAGCGTTTGCATGAGGTCGTCATTCTTCTTGGACAGACGCTTGTTCTTCTCAAACATGGGCTTCATCTGGCTCTCGGCCTCTCGCACCCGCTTCAACTGGACACAGGAAGGAAACGGGGAGGGGAAACAATGCAATCTTAAGTCTTTTAGTGACAAGGAATTTACAGTTTGAGCAGGAGAGGCAAGATGAAGGCTGGAGGGCTTAGAAAATATGTTTTAAACACACATTTCACAGGCATGTATGTTTATTTATGTGTGTATTTCTGTACTCTTAGTGTAACAATGTGTGTCCTATAATCACTGCATGTATTTACGTCCGTGTGTGTGTGTGTTTATTTGCATCTCTATAATCACTGAATACGTGTTCTTCTGTGTGCGTTAGTGTTTCTCACTAGTTCATTCCTCTCGTCGGCCAGCAGCGCATTCCTGTCCTCCAATTTCCTGATGACCGAGTGGAGCTCCGCAATCTTCAGCTGGAACCTCCTCATGTCCCGCTCCTCCACCTCCTGTGGAGCAAGGGGGAGAGGAGAGGAGGATGAAAACTAAAAAAGGGAGTACATGCAGGCAGGCAGGCAGGTAGGTAATTGAGGGGGATGGGAAAGAGGAGGTGATGTGATGAAGGATGAGATGCCATTTCACTGTGAAACTGTGGACCTGTGTGTGCAGTATACACAATATACACAGTATACTGTATATACATTGGGCCCTGCCATAAAGAATGTTTTAAAGCCCAATTAAAGGTTAAATCAAGGTCTAAACAATTATACTTTTTTTCTATGATGAAAATAATATCTAAATCACCAGTAAAAGAAAAAAGCCTTCAAAAATTCATGTTCGTCTAATACTGTGACATAACTTTAATTCCTGTAATTTGGTCTCATGTGCACATTTGAGAATGACATGCACATGTATGTGTATACCTGGTTGTTGAGCAGGTCCGAGTTGTCCCCCAGCCCAGGCACCAGCTCTCTCTTTGGGCTGCCGTGGTTGTGCCTCTCAGCCTCTCGTACGTGACCCAGCTGCTCGTCCAGAGCGTCCTTCTGAAGCTGAAGCTTCTGGGCGTAGCCGGCCTGCAGCCCCAGCTCCCTCTCCAGGGCAGACATCACCCGGTCCTTCGACTTCAACTCATCCATCTATCAGAGGGATGGATAGACAGGCGGTTTCCCATTGAATCCCAGTTACAGCATTACTGGAATAAGGTGTATTATATAGTGCACATATTTCTGAGATCATGTTGGTGGAAATACGATGAAAAATGTTTCTGAAATTCAGCAAAAATTGTGTCTGGTTTATATGAAGTACATTGTTCTTCTGTTTTATTTATGTGCAAACAATTAGGTTTAGCATGAAACAACTTTCAACCTGAAGTCCCACACTGGCTACACCTTTAGTCTAACCAGATGCATGCTCCGTTGGCCGTGAACAGATTAAGAGAGCGACAGTGTTTTAACTTTTAATATATAGTGCTCCAGCTGTGATTCATTTATGAAGCTTTGCTCTTGCTGTGTGTTCACACAACTTCTTCTGACAAATGTTCCCTCTACTTCCCTCTGTATTTTGTTCTTTAACGCTGTTTTTTCCTGCACTGCCTGGTCTCCCTCAATGAGCCATGCTTTACTATTTTACTACTCTGATTCCAAATATTATTAAGTCTCCTTGCTCAAACATTCCTTTATAAACAGTAGTACATGATGTAGTCACACTGTATGTAATGGGGTTAATGAGTAACTGCAGCAGGTATACAGAGTTCTATTTTTGCAGATAAGAACCACATGTTGAGATAGACCAGTAAATGGAATGACACTTGTGAGCGTTTGCCTGGTTTCCTTATTTGGCCAGACCACTGGTAATATAAGCACACCCACACAGCCCTGATGAGAGAGATCAGCTCACATGGGTGTGATTGATTGTTGCTTATTTGGTCATGTATATTAAAAATGATTGAGCAATATTACACAGGCTGTAAATATAAAAATGTGAATCAACCTACGAAGGTAAATAAAGGTCAAATAGACTAAATCATTTCTAATAAATGTAAATGTTATATGCTATTAAAGAATCACCAGCAGGTATACTGTCAACTGTGTCTGAAGGCAATATTTGAATATATTATCCTTCATCGAAAGAGTTAGCTAGTGGCCTTGTCCATTAAAGATAAGACATACTGTATGCAGTGTCTCTAATGTGTGTCGTCCCAGCAGCATGAGGCCTCACCAGTCGGCGGATGTCTCTCTCACAATCACGTTTGATGCGATGCACCTCATCCTGGTGCTGCTGGTAGGCTGTGCGGAGATCTGCTGCTTTGGCTTTATCGGCCTGCAGAGCATTTGCATGCGCCTCTTCAGCTTGCTTCCTGGCTGTCTTTTGCTCCTGGATCTAAAAAAAAAACAAAAAAACATAAGACGATAATATTAATACACACAAAACCAAAACAACAAAGAGAGTGACACTCACATGTATAAACACACGTCCTATCCCATTAGACAGTTGTAATGATAGATGTCCTGTTTGTCTGGAAAGGCTGCATCGAAAACAATAGCTTGGCAACAGGCTTTTCCACACGGTTTCCTGTTTTTCAGCAGCAGAGTCACAAAAGTTGACACAGTCCCACATCAACAAACACACACACAAAATACACATGCCAACAAAAAAAATCTCTTATATATACAATGCCCTCAGAAAATATCCAATCTGCAAAACTCATTCTATAATTTTGTGAGAACAAAACAAACAAACAAACCACAGAAGTGGACCGAGCTCTAGTTTATTAGAAGCAGAGCATACTAGATACGGTTTGACAGCAGAATTACAGTTAATACTTACCACGTTCATATTAGTCCACAATCTCTATTGAAAACATAATTAATACTGCATTACCGTCCCCTATACATGCTATAACCTACCTCCTGCTGTAGCTTTATCCTCTCCCCATCAAAAGCTCTCCTGGCCTCCTCCCGAGCCTCTCCGAGTAGGGCGTTTTTGAGCTTGTCGGCTGCGCCGTCTCTCAGAGCGTTCACGAGACCCTGGAGCCTCTGCGCCTCGACATCCTTGATCTTGATGGCCCGGGCCAGCTCCACTTCATGCTGCCGAGCGAGGGTCTCGCGGGCGGCCGCTATCTCGCGTAGCTTTTCTTCGTGGAGTTTGGCGCGCAGGTCAGTGAGTGCTACAGCATGTTTGTGCTGCTCAAGCTCCCGAGCCTGCCGCTGCTCCTGGAGCCGCTCACGGAGCTTACATACCTGGAGAGAGTGGGACGTTTTGCCATTAAAGTTGCATTGGAATTCAATCAAGCAGCCAGTGTGTTCATCCATTTGCCTCCAGACCAAGTGCTGGCAGTCTAAAACAAAACGGATGTTTATCCCTAAACAGGGAGCAATAGACACATAGAGAACAGTTATCGTTTTAGCTGAAATTAATGTTAATTCAAAAAGATTTTTGCTTGCCACATGCCCTCTTGCAGATGTTTTTTTATGCACAGTGCAAACGTTTAAAGCATGGCCCAGTAAGAGCTGACTCCAGGTCCTGTTACTGCTAAGTACAACCATGACGGATGCAGAGAAGGGAACAGAGGCCACAAAGAGGTGGTTTGTGTGTCAATCAGATGATGCAAGGAGAGGCAAACCGCCCAGACAGCTTTTCCAAGACTATGTACAGTGTTAGACTGCACATAGTCAGGCCTAACAGCCACTGAATAACTATCATGCTGGTTGGCCATGTGGTGTACGCTCCTCCTCACCTTGCCCCGCTCTTGCTGCAGCTCAATCTGGGTGTCCAGGACTTTGCTCCTCAGTTCCTCGTTGGTGGCCTGCACCGAGTCGGTCATCACCTCCGATTTGTCCGGCTTCCTGCCCTTCTTAAGGGGCGGAGCCGCAGAGGGCATGGTTGAGGACATCGCAGTACGGCCGCCCAATCAGGACGGACATAGAATCCAAGGTGTGGCGAAAAAAAGGAGGAGAGAGTCAATCGCTGCTCCACCTCCGTGCGAGGCCCTGCATCATCATCATCATCATCATCATCGTATCGTTGTCAGCTCTACATCATTGCTGGAGGTTGCTGAGAGTTTCTGTTTGAGAGAGAGAGAGAGAGAGAGAGAGAGAGAGAGAGAGAGAGAGAGAGAGAGAGAGACAGAGAGAGAGAGTCAGTGTTAAAAACTGGGTTACACCAAACTACTCTGCACAGTGCACTGGACACAAGCCACATGACGCACTACAGCCAGGGGAAAACAGACTATTTTTGGGACTAACATTTACACTCTCCTCTGTAATATACACATGTGGCGTGGGCCATTTATTATCACCTTATCCCAGACCCTGGACTGTACTTAAGCGCCTCAGTGCATGAAAATGTGTCTGATGGTCTCTGGCCTGTCACATCTCCCTAACACTTCTCTAGACTAATAAATGAAATAATTAACCTTGATGATTCCTTTTCTAGAGATCCTGCAGTCTGTTCTGTACCTGCTCACATATTATACAGAATAAAGAGCCGTCGTGTCACTGTAGTCCACTTAGAAATAAATTACTGTTTCAAATAGATAAGCGATTGATTTTCTCTTGAATCTTTGGACCAGGTGAATGTAGAGCGCATTTGCCTCGATTACTCTCGTTTGATCCTTCCACTTCCTCCATCAGTGCAATATAATTGCAAGATTTGTCTCTAATGGTTCTAATCATACAGGATTCACTGCAGAGAGCATTATTTATCTCGTTATAAGAGCCTCTCAAATTACAGCTAAACAAGAGAATGTTCACAATTATTTGATTTTCAAAAGAGTTGCAACCAATAAGGTTATCACTGACAAAACAAGGCAAATACATAAGGATTTATGATGACTAGTTTTCTCTCTACTCCTCATCTCTTTCCCCACTGACTACTGTTGTGTGATCCGGTGTATTTTGGGCGTATTTCATTATGAATGACACACATTCCCTGAGGTAAACGTAGACTCCTTTAATCTCTCCCTGGAATGAATTGTGACCCAGTAACCTTCCACTTCTTTCTGCTGACTATTAAATGAATAATGCAGCGATAAGGCAGCTAAAGCATTAAGACTGCATGCGCCTCCATCTTTAACCACACACACTCACACACACACACACACACACACACACACATGTTACCAAACATTCATACAACATACACAGATGGCAGCAATAGTTACCAAGGCAACCCTTGCTCTCAAAAACTCTACTCCGCTCAAAGGATGACGGGAAGGAGTGTCACGGTGGATTTGAAACAAACAGAGGTACAAACAACGGCGTCGTATAAGGGCTGAAAAAACACATGTACACACACACACATATGATTTTGTTATCTGGTTCAATCTCTGAGGTTCACTGAGAGACAGAAATGCAGTGATGCTTGAGGAAGCTTTCTTCCACATGGATTCTTACAGAGCACACACAGTCCGACATTGGAAACCCATGGGGATGGATGGGGGGGGTGAGCGACAGGACGGAGGAGGATTAAGCCTACAGGAGAGGAAAGAGCAGGAGCAAAGTGAAACCTCTACCAGAGAGGGGAACCAACCTTCCACCATCTCCCCCCCCTCTCCTCTTACATCCCTCCACCCCCAATTGCTGGAATAGTGATGGTTACTGAGCCGGGGCAATCAGTGATCTCGCTCTCATTCACAGAGACAGAAAGAGAGAGAGAGAGAGATACAGAGAGAGACAGAGAGAGAGAGAGAGACAGAGAGAGACAGAGAGAGAGAGAGAGAGAGACAGAAACAGAGAGAGAGACCATTCACACACAGAAAGCACTGACACAAGCACACACTCTCTCACACAGAACAACTAGAGACGGATACAGCTTTACATCTATGCACACAAAAGCTCTCTACACTTATTCTCATCACTAACAAACATGTCTTTATTTACAGGACATCAATAGACTTGACTCACATGTGTAGTGGTATTTGCACACGTAATTTACAAGGACAGAGAATTGTTGTCCGTCCACATTCCACCCTGATACTGCTTTAAGCATGTTGAAGCATGTTGAAGCATGTTGAAGCATGTTGAAGCATGTTGAAGCATGTTGAAGCATGCCTGTGCCACCATCAGAGAGCAAGTGTACCCACACTAAGATGGCATAGTGGATGGTTTCACTGTTTTTTCTTCATCTTCAACTCTTTATCAATAACTTATAGAACATCTTTCACTTGATACGAGTCCAGATATGCCGTCAACCACACACAGTTCCCACAAAGTGCTCTGGAGCCACATGTTTCCAAGCTGGCAGCCAGAACCAAACTCTGAGAGTTTATAGGGGAAACTGGGACATTTTATAGATCCAAACACCTTTAATGTTAGTTCAGGAAAGCCAGTACAGCTCACGTACCTTAAACTACCTCATGTACGCCAACACATGAACAGCTTATATCGCACTAGAAAACGCAAATGTTTCAGAAAAACCTTTCAACCGATAAGACTGATGGCCCAGATCAAAGAGTCACCATCGACCCTGCTATCACCCACATATAGCTGATGTGATCCAATGTTCATAACTGCAGAAAATGATTATGGCTCATCAGTTCAATCACAAGTCATTTTGTGCAAAAAGTAAAACTGAAAAAAGAAAAAAAGTGCCGCTAAATGCAGTGAATGGAGCATTGAAACAATCAGCTTAAACAATGGCGCTACATCAGTCGATGGTGAGTGCAAGAAAGAAGTGATGAAGAAACTCTGCAGCTGAGGAGTTTCACAATCAAGCAAATTGCAGCTTGAGAATGAGACTCCAAAAAAAGTCTGCAACAAAATGCGTCGATCAGCATCAATACAGGAGCGTAAGAATATTAGTTGAAGCTCTGCATGATCAAGGTTTTATCCTGGTACCCGGCTAGGACGTTGGAATCTTGATCCCCTTACAACTGGCTGAACAAAGAGTGACAAACATATACTGTAGTTTCAGGAAATCCCTGTTCTCGCTGTAAAACGACGCGCCTGTGGTGTAACAGGGTTACAGCAGTACACAGGAAGATTTAGATTTCGGAAGAAATTGCAGAGAGATGTGCAATTGCAATAAATGAGTGATTGCTGAAGGATGTCACCGTGATGAATAAACATGCATATTGGGATTAGATTTAAACTTCCATAAAAGGCATGATGTAGGAGATATTTGTCCCTAACTGGCTACAAAAAAATAATTAGTAAAAACCTACAATTCTTTTTCGTAAACACATTTAATGTAGAATTAAATGAGTGATTGTATTACACGTCTGTGTTGTAAAAAGAATATGTAATAATGCACTTTAAGGCTTTGTTCTTTAGCAGAGGTTATTAACAGGGTATTTACATAAGTATTGTATATATAAGTTGTTTTATATAAAGTAAAAGCTGTTGGGTACACAGACGTCTTTGCAATGAACACAAGTTTATTACACACACAGATGGACCTCCTCGAAGCTAGACAGACCACACACACACACACACACACACACACTCCCATAGTGTCAAACATGAACTACTTCAGTGAGACATAGAGGCCCAATAAATAGATAAAAGAGCTGCAAATGGGAGCTGAAACAAAGACTCATTGCTTCTCAATCTAGGTAACAAAATCAACAGTGAGGGTGTGGACAGACTGAGATATATATACTCCTGTTTATACGGCACATTGGTTACAATGCCTCATAGGCTCATACGTACATATAGACACATACATTCTCATTGTAGTCATATTAGCATCAGCAGAAGGTAGACTGTCAGAACACTCCAGACACACACACACACACACACACACACACACAGCAGTCTAGTGATACTCCAAAGACACTGTAAAGATCCCACTGAGAGGCTGAGCAGCCAAGTGCAGCACTAGTGGAGCATATGATCTACCAAACTAGACTATGCCAGCAGAATGACTACAAGTTATTGACCCTGATGACTAGTCAACCCAGACATATCATATGTGCACGTATGCGTTTGCATGCATGGGTGCATCTATGTGTAGGTTAGCAGTAATAGCCTCTCTCCCCTCAGGAACACATGATAGTGCAGTCAGTAATGTGATTAACCTCTCTCTCTCATTCTCTCTCTCTCTCTCGTTCTAACTACACAGCGAGCACATTAATCAGTACTGGCTGGTGACTAATCCCTGGTTTACACAAACATTAATACACAGCACAGACATTTACCCATCTGTACCACTCTTTGCATAAAGAATACCCTCATATGTCTGTAAGACATGAAGAAGTAAGATGTGGGCATAGCTCACAGGGATTAACCTGGTAGCAGCCCCTTACTCACAGCACCACACAGGAAAGCATGTGTGGAAGGTAAGATTATGAATGAGGAATAAGTGGGATGAATTAAATTAGGGAGAGGAATGTGGATTATAAGGCAGGGGTAAACAGGACTCCTGTGAATGTCGGCATTCACTGATGTTATACCTCTAGAGTAGGGAAGTCGGGTGAAGAACATGAAACCATCATAAATAGACAGTAAGCCCATCGTCCTGTCACAATAATAAGCATAGATGTGTTCCAGTGCCTGCATGAGAGCTATACCCCTTACTTAAAAAAAGACACATACTTAGCACATGCATGCATCTGGGTTTTAACAGGCTGATAAAACAGAAGTGAGTGTGCAACACATGTTGTCTGTCCACTGGGGCGGATTTACGAGCCTCAGGAGCAGAGCTGTTATGACAGACAGAGTCCATGCACGGCAGAGGACTGGTGTGGTATAAGGGGACATGGTGGAGATGTTGGGGATGGTTTAATGCCAAGTGGCCCGCTCTCTAATGAGCTGTCAAATGGGTGATTAGTAGGGTAGGGTCTACACAGCGTCTACACTGCTGACAGCCTGCCTTGTCCGGCTTGCCAACCACACCCCACGGAGACATGCAGGGGGGCTGCAGCTGCAGCAGCATCCTCCAGAGTCCGAGGTCGGATGTCCGCGCACTCAGCAACTCTGTAACGTGTTGATGTTTCCGTGTGTGTGAACCGACTGTCATGTAGCATTTCCACCGTGCTGCTCCCGGTGTGACGACAGACTATAATGTGATCCACCGGGGAGGGGGGCTAGCTGGTAAGAGTCGGCCAGGGACCAGAGATGTCCCACAGGTTCACGATGCAGACAAAAATGTGGGTCGATATGAGGCTTGGCAGTCAACGTTACTGTCGGTAGACCCACAGCTCTCAGACATGATGTCGGTGGGTCTCCGTTAGCAGATGCAACGCGGATGTCGGATACATGTCACAGCAGCTAACACCCTGTCAGAGTCTACGTGAAGTTATCTGTGATTACAGACCGAGCAAAACTTACCTGAAATGGAGGTCTGGTGGTTCACAAGTGGCCCGATGTTGAAGCGTCGCTGCCTGACGTTAATTCGCTTTACATCCAGGAAGAGAGGCTGGATGAATTAACTCGCCTCCAGCTCGTGAAAAGATGCAGGGCTCGGCTAACTGCTAACAGCGACCGGTAACAACTTTATTCGTCGGATATTACACACATTTTCCAGCAGCGAGCAGTGGACTGAAGTTGTATTTCCACCACTGATATTATCCTCTAGCTACAAACTGGATTCAAGCTTCAGGCTTCTCCTCCTCTCGCGCCGCACGTTGACATTTCCCTCCACGCCCGCCCACACCCACACACACACACACACACACACAGACACTTGAGTGCACGCGCGACGTCATCCGTTCCTATACATTTCAAACACACGAGTATAAAAATAAATAAATAAATAAAACTGTTTCGTTGCCCCGTGTGTCGACGTGAACATGGGGAGGGGGGGGAAACGCCGGGCGGGCGTCGCCGGTAGCGTGATAGAAGCGCGACACCTGACTGCGTGTTCAAGAATGACACCGCGCGCGGTTAATGCGTGGACACGCAGCCAGTGCGGGAGAAACGTGCGTCGTCAGGGCGTCACGGTGGTATAGAGCATACAGACCATGTATGTTACTATAGATGGTACAAACACACCAACACAAGAAGACAGAATTAACAAAGGATGGAAAAAAATGATTTGTCAATACAATATTTTGCTGTTTAAAAAAGAAACTTAACATTATATTCTTGAGATACCCACTGAAACAAAGTATTACCTTGTAAGGCTAAAGTTGCCAATAACAGCTTAGTCTTATATCTTTCCTTTCTATCTGCAAGGGTTTGTTTTACTTTTTGGTCATATTTAAACATCTTTCATTTCATGAATTCATGTTCTTTAATATTGTATCTTATTGTGTATATATATACCTGTTTAAAATGTTATTAACACAATTGTATCTTGGCTCTGTAACCTACACTTGCTGTACATGAGATGATGATGATGATGTTGATGATGATAGCCATTACATATAATAATATAAGGGTCACTATTATTCTTGCCAGGTATCGTTATAAAAATAACTTGTTTTTTTAAAAGGTATTAACCATAATCATCATTGTATACTCACTGTATCTTAATCTATAACAGTAATGCCTTGAAACTATAAAGCTTCACATAAAGGTACCTTAGGCCTCTTAATTCTGTATATTTATTGAGGACAATATGACTCGTCAAATTATAGAATTCAGTGGAAATCAAATCTGACAACATGAAAGCGGTGTGTGTGACCCAGATTCTGGAGGATGCATTACTTACGCACAGCCGCCTGTCGCTGCCTCTCCACACTGTGACTGTCTGTCTGCCATTCACAGCGCACCATGACGGCTCTCTGTGGCTGCAGCATATGCCCATTGCTGCAGGGCAACATAGGTCAAAGGAAGTGGAGGGAGAAGAGCAAACAGTCAGTGATGAGTTGTAATTGTCTAAACATAATGTCCTCTCCTGCAGTGGTCATTCACTCATCCAGAATTGATGTACCATCGGGCATTTTCCCAGGTTGTATATGCTTGTGCACTTTATATGTATGGAACATTATTTGAGTGGTAAAACAGACAAGCTAAAGGGGCGAGTTTGGAGTATTAAGCTGCACTCCATTCAGGTTCCTGCTGAGGCCAGCAAACAGACATCCAGATGGAGAGATAAAGTGAAAAAACATTGTGGTTGCAGGCAGAGAGAGACGGGGAGAGGGAGGGATGTGTAGCCTGCTTTGTTTTGGTGAGGGATTGACTCAAAGAGTGAATGTATGTCAGAGAGCGGTAATGACTGTTTCTTTTAATTGTTTTGCCTGAGGTATTTTTACTGTTCACCGCAGCATGGTAATTTGTGGGTCTGCAGTTTTTGTACCCCTCTCTCTCCCCCTCTCTCTCTCTCTCTCTCTCTCTCTCTCTCTCTCTCTCTCTCTCTCTCTCTATCTCTCTCTCTCTGAACCGGAGATTTCACAGAAAACGGACAAAGGAAACTTTATTCTATTTTACGTCACAATAACCTTGTGATTAAGCCATGCGATAACTCTTCTGCAGATAATAGAACAACCCCAGGTGTTAGATTCATTCAGGGTATAACTTTGGTGGTATTAAAGTGTAAAAGTGATGGTATAGGTACATGCTTCTAGCAGAAGGGGTAGTGATCAAGCTGGATGGTCATGTTATACAAGCGTTTTAATCACAGATTTCTTCATGGGGAGAACCAAACAACCTCTAGTCAGTCAGCCTATTTCCATTCCTTATGCCCAGCTATGAGTAATATGAGGAGTCACTGTTTTTATTAAGTTAACATTATCATCTTAGGATATCAATTAGCATTAGCATATCAATGAGAGCTGTCCATAATAGGCTTAACATATTCATGACTGTTGGCAGATTAAACTTATTAGCTTTATTAGACGGCCATTGGTATTCAGAGAGAATCAAATGAGGACTTTATCTGGCTAACCTTCTTATGCTCTTATACAGCATTTATCTTAAGCACGTAGATAGAAAACATTAGACACTTTTGCATCCATTTGTGAAGCCAGGCACCAAACTGACCTATTTTCCACAATGTAGCCCCCTATCCCCCAGTCTGGAGTGCTTGTGGTGACGTAAAACTTTCATATGAAGGTAATTACGCTTCGCAGGGCATGAGTCACCACTTAGTCACAAAACAATCTGAGCCTGATGTTCCATAGTGTACCCCAAAAAATTGAATTCATAGCATGAACATAACAAGATGACAAACTTGTGTGCAAAGTGAAGTTTCTTTGATTTGTAAAAAGCTCTTCAAACACAGTAACAGGGGTTTTTCTCCGTTTCTGACCTTCTGGGTAAAATATGAGGCGTTTGTTCCATTAAACAGTCCAGTATTTTGCTCTCCAAAAACACCAAACTGGCCACACCCCGAATCATAATACTAGTTCGCCATACAGGCCTCACAATAGCTTCGGATCAATATATAGAGGGCTGGCAGAGTTTACCCCACTTAAAAAGTGTAGGAAGTGCCAATGATTTAATCACAGGGTCATATAAAAGATGGTTCATGATCTAGGACGATTAGACATTACAAGAGATTAACTCCTTGTCTGAAAATCTCCCCAAAGTGGAATCTGTGGCTGATTGTATGATAACACGTTGTCTATCCTTATATTAGTATCACAACATAAACAAGCTGATAATTATGGAGTGCATAGTGTGTAATTAGAAGGAATTTACCCAATGTATCAGCTGGCTAACATCTATCACATCCCATTCCCCTGCAGAGAGAAACTTCAAAGGTCAGAATAGCTACTGGGCTGCAGTTGTGATGGAAATATTCATCCTCACCGCAGTCAGTGTCCGTTCTCACATAACCCTTCTGGCTGCTATAGTTACTGACCATATGTCCTCTCCTCCTGCTCCTCCTCAGGTCTCTCTTCCTGTGAGAGTCATTGGTCATGCCGGGGGAGACCGTGGGTGAGGCCTGAACTGTAAATACAGGGCCCTGTTACCTAGACGCTATAGGAGACAAAGAGGGGGGTGAGTGCATTTTAGACTAATGGTCTCTATTCTGTTGTGTCATGTAGCCCCCTTTTACTGTAATAACTTCAACTGACATAGATATGAGATTAGAAAAAATGATGGGGAAGTCTCCATCACATGAGCTCTAGAATAGGTCATGACTACCTTGAGGGGATACAGAGAAAGAAAACAAGCTCACGAATATCTTGTTTGAGCTGCTTTGCATAATTTTAATGGGAATTGCGTCTGTGAGTGCACGTGTGTCCAAACCTCTTTAAAAGACAGATTGCCTATAGATTGAAGGTGTGCATGTGAAAGACCAAAGCCCGTTCAAGCGTCATGCTTATCCTCTCAACTGGATTGCGTTAATCTACTAATCAAGAGCAATTTACATAACTGCTTCAATGCAGCTGCAGTTAAGAAATTACTGCCCCCATTTCCTTTTTCCCACAATGTGGTATCTACTCTCATTCCCAGACTGGAACTTTAATCTCACTCCCCCCCGAGTCCTGTTGATTATTCTCTCTTTAAATCCTTTATTTGTCTGCTTTCGCATGGGTCACCCACTTATAAACTTTAATGTTTCTTTTCTTGTCTTTTTTCCGGTTCTCCTTATAGCAGTTTGCATTGCACATGTATGTGAGCAAAATTCCCTGTACTACCAAGCATCGTTACAAACTCTTCTTTGGGCACAATCAATATTTTGTTTTTACAATGTAAAACATGCTAATCACAGCTTGTTTTGATGAATAAATCACTCAAACGGCATTTGCCTGTTCTGCAGATCATACTCTCATACTATGGAGTTTGGATTATGTGATTAAATATAGTTATATAGTAAATATAGGGAATTCTAAAGAAAATGAAATTACATGGATGGTAAAAGTCTCAGCACCTTATTCCTTTGATAATGTATGGCACATAAATGTGCTTGTAATTTATTCCCCATTTAAAATGCCATGGTGTCTTTTTGAATGCAAACCTCATTGACTAAAATACCGTAATATTTTCTATTTATCATAACAATAAGAATAAGAATACACAATCACAGCTTGCGTCACATTTGTAAATTCAATTAATGATAGCATGTCGTGTACTGCCATCTCCTGGTAGAAAACTTGTATTACGTTGTTGCAAACAGAAATAATAAATAATGATTTATAACAAAAAAAAAGCAAAGCTGAAATATAGAAACATATTTTAAAATGTAAACCATTATGCTTAATCATAGCAGTTTTAGCATTAATTATATGCTTAATCAACTGTAATAAGGATCCCTGATATATTTCGGTGTTTGATTGCTCTCGACTGAAAGACATTATTTCGACTTCTTACCTTTACAACCAATCAAATCGCATTTAGTCGTCAATTTTGTCCAATCACAACACGCAGAATTCAAAGTGGGCGTGGACGCCCAGCGGAGCAGCTGACAGACTGTACATTGTGTATTTGTTTTAGTTTGACCACGGAGAGCCAGCGGACTCACCGGCGACAGGCTGATCTTTATAAAAACGAAAGGGAAGAATGATTTGGGACACAGAATAGCAAAAGAACTGAGTTATCACTCGCGTCCTTGTCACCTGGAGGATTTACTTTACCGCGGTAAAGGTGAGCGGACAGTAGTGACGTTAGCATTAGCAACAAAACCACTAACGGTTGTTATTTCAGTTATCTGCCACATCTTTCACTGTCAGCTATATGTCGGGTACATAAAACGTGTGGCGCTGTAAATACACTGCATTGCATTGGATGCGGTAAGCTAAATGTGGATTTCTGCATGCCCTCTCCACTGGTTGACTGGAGCCCCCTTCTTGATGGCTAAGGGGGGGTTCCCCTAAAATACAACAGGACGTTTCCAGTCAGGACACTTTAAGGATGTCACCTTCTCAATATAGCTGCTCAGGGTTCACTTGATAATGTCTAAAATAAACTGCAGACCACATGACAAAAAAAGTTCCACACAGCTTGACCACACTAAAGTCAACACAACAGAGATCTGCAGTCAGGATGTTAACCGTTGAGTTAATTAAAAGGAACTGGCCACAGGTCAATACTTGCATGTGCCATAGAGACAGATGGGTCGATAGTCCAGTCTGATGACTCATCTGCTGTCAGTTGTTGCACATATTGGAGAGCCACAGGTGTCTGTTGCGTTAAAGCTGAAGCTGTAAGATTATTGTCAGTAAATCATTGCAGCTTATATCAAATATTCTAAAGTCTAGTTTACATCTTCATTCTTTTTTTGCTGCAAAATTGCAGTAAAACATTGATCAAATTCACCAATTAGAGTATTTTTGTACCGTCCTCCTTCATACCTTCTTTCTGTCAGCCGTTTAGCCGTGAAGATGTGCTTCCTTTCACTCTTTGAACCCTAGAGTTTTATTGTTGACTGGTATGTTTTTTTCAGCCATGGAACCATCTCTGACCGGCAACCCAGCCACCCCGAAACCCAGCCCCTCATCTCCTTCCACCCTGAGGCCGGGCCCTTTCTCTGCCGCCTCGTCTTCGACAACAACCGCACCAACCTCAGACCGCCTTCAGCCTAAACTCACCCTGCCAACACCTCAGACCACACCCTCATCTTCTCCCTCCACTGCCTCCCCTCGAACCTCTCCATGTCTTTCCTCCCGTTCGTCCTCCCTGTCCACACCGCCTGCCTCCCCTCTACGCCAGCCCATCAGGAGCCCCTCGCAGGTGGGCAGATCTCAGCTTAACGCCGCCTCCACGGGGATTCCCTCGACTGCATTCACAGTTGCTGGAGCGGCCGCCGTGGCTCAGCAGCCTCCTCCCACACCTGAATCAGGTGAGACTCAAACTCTGAGCTTTGGCCTTTTACATGTATAATCACAAATCTTTACTCTACTGTCTCACTTTTCTGTTCTCCACCAATCAGTGCAGACAACACTCCCAGTTTGCTGTGTGCACTGTAGTGTCTCCATGACAATCATTGCCATTCACCACAACATGTAAAGCAGCCTGTTGCACTCTGCTGACTTGAGGAGGGAAACCTGTCTAGACATGTAAATATGGGGTATTATTGGAAAGTGTGAAATCCAACACCTCAGTCATTCAATTTGTACCAGTTTGAACTCGTACTCAGTCCTGTCCCCTGAAAAATACGTGCCCTGTACCATGTGTCCAGCTGTGTTTCATCAGAGAAGCTAGCAGCTGCTGGTATTTTAGAGCCAGCAGTATTGACGGGCATCTGATGGAAGTTACCGGATCCCATTGCATTCGCCCCCCCTCCATATTTTTCCTAATATCCATGATACAACAAATGTGACGCCTTACTTTACAGGAAGTAGACACATTTTTCCACGTGAGCTCCAGTTCAAGTGAGGCACTGGGATTTGAAATTAGCAGAACTCATCAGCAACAGGGTTCAGAGGGACGTTCCTGGAAGGATCCGACTCATGCTGACGCTTTGGGATCTCTCCTCCCATTGACTGGCACATAGAACTGGACTGTTTGTAAACTACAGTAATTTAAAACCAAAGAAGAGTAAAACAAAACAGATTATACCGTAGTCACCTGAAGAGGACTTAAATATAATGGTTAAGTTTAACTTGAAGCATTTCCACATTCATATCATGTGTGTCAGTTGTAGTCATGCACTTAAAATGGAAACAGCTTGGTCAGCAGTTTCAGTAACATGGATGCTCGGCTTTCACTGCAGACAGCTGGGTCAGGAAGACGTGTGTGTGTGTGTGTGTGTGTGTGTGTGTGTGTGTGTGTGTGTGTGTGTGTGTGTGTGTGTGTGTGTTGTTTCTTTTTTTATCTGCCTGTTATCCACTTTACTAACTCACTTTTGTTACACAATAAGGCATTTTAATTAATTAATGACACAGTTGCACTAAGAATCTGTTGTGTATTGTGTACCTTCTATGAAATCTACTGTGTTCTGTTTCCTTCAGAAGAGCCAGAGGAGGAGGTCAGTCTTGAGGATTTGGAGGAGAGAGCAAAGTCAGGCGATGCTCGAGCACAGAGCAAGGTCGGTGTCAATGAACATATTGCAAATACTATTGACTTAAATGACCATATGGTGGGCACAGACCAAATCCGCTAAGTAATGATGAATGTTATTTTAAGAGCGACATATTAATGGGAAGGACAGGTCATGAGTCAACAAAGTCACGGTGATGCTTGCCTCGCAAATGTGAAAGTCTTTGTGTGCTTGTGTGTCCAGATGGGACGTTACTTCCTGGCCCTGGCAGAGGAACAAGATGAAGAGCTGAACAACTGCACAGCGGTCACTTGGCTAGTCCAGGCTGCTAAACAAGGACGCAAGGACGCCGTCAAACAGCTGCAGCGGTGCTTAGCCTCCAGGAAAGGTACCAGAAATGTCCCACTCTTACCCTTGTTCTTTGACTTTCAGCAAAGTAGCATCATTGGTTTGATGCCATCAGTTGTCCATTTACACCTTTTGTGTTTGTCAGGCATCACTCTGGAGAACATGGAGGTGGTGAAGAAGTTGTGTACAGAGACGCGCTTTGAGAGAGGAGTCAGGAAAGCAGCTCTGCTGATGTACTGGAAGCTGAATCCGGAGAAGAAGAAGTCGGTGGCTGTTTCTGAGATGCTGGAGAACGTCGAACACGTCCACACAGAGCCAGGTACGGGAAGGGAAATAGTGTAATTAAACACACTGACAGTGTAAAGTTCTTTTGTTACCTAATATTAGTATACTCAACATGCTGCAGATTGTTCTAAAGAGGCAAAGAAATACAGACTAGTTGCATGTTTAGAATCATTTTTTTGTATTATCTTTCCTTGATTTTTAGGCAAACCAATGTCGCCAGGGCCACTAAACAGCTCTGCCAAGAAACAGAGGAGAGTCCTGGAGACTATGGTCTCCAGTGAAGGTATGTGTGGTTTGAAACAACTCAAAAAAACGAACTTTCAGATTAAAATTTGCTTGTAAGTTAACATCCGTGTGTCGTCTGTATGTCTTTGTAGCCAGATGCCAAGTGGGTCTTGACGACTTTGTTGAGATGACTAAGAAGTATGCTCAGGGTGTTGCCCCTTCACCAGTCATGGCTACAGCAGGAGACGACGACGACGACGACGATGATGATGATGATGTGGTGGTGAAGAATCCAGATAATTTGCCCTTACACCAAAAGGTAGGAAGCTCCCAGACTCTGGAAGGATGTGACTGCTCTCCATTAGACTCCATGCTGTCCTCTTTTTAAATCACACTCCACTCAAAAATGTGTTTGCTTGTTACGTTATGAACATAAAGGATAAAGAGAAGCATCAAATTCTCACATTGCAACTCGTGAATGTTCAGTATTTCGTTTGATATTGACAATCGGCAAACTGGTGGCTGATTTCATTTTTATTGCATCTCTCTAAATGAGTCTTTCCTAGGAGTAATAATCAGATTTTGGGACCTTGTTGACCCCACCTTTTTCTTGTGGTTCCTCCAGTTGCTGAAGTTCCCTCTGTTCGCTTTGCTGGAGATCAAGGAGCACCTCATCGACTGGGCGTCACGGGCCGGCATGCAGTGGCTCAGCGCCCTGATCCCCACGCACCACGTCAACGCACTCATCTTCTTCTTTATCATCTCCAACCTCACAATCGAGTTCTTCATCTTTCTCATCCCTCTGCTGGTTTTCTACCTTTCATTCTTCTCCATGATCATCTGCACACTGCGGGTGTTTCAGGTTGGTGATTGCTCCTTTTCGAGACACGTAGTATAGAGCTCAGTTGTATTGTTTTCTTATTGAACCTGTGTAACTGTAAATGGATTTTTTTTTGTATAGATTTACTTACCTTAGGAGCTAAAAGTAAACTGAAATTAATTAGCATATTTTTCGACAGAATTCAAAAGCTTGGGAAAACTTCCGGGCTCTGACTGACCTGCTGACGCACTTTGAACCCGGTCTTGATCTGGAGCAGGCTGAGACCAACTTTGGATGGACGCACTTAGAGCCTTATCTGTAAGAACATCTCTATTTATATGGCTCCATGTGGACAACATATTCAGTTCATATATATTCATTTTTATTGTTTAATCTGGTTTGTTTGCAAATGTTTGGTTTTGTTCAGGTTTTACTAGTTTGACTACAAAAAGTCTGTTTAGCATTTTCTTGTAGATGAAGTCACGCAGTTTCTGCTTAGGCTGATTTATTTTTTAAATTGTTTTCTAGGAAGCAAACTGTAAGTTTTTATGTCACTTCGTTAACCTGACCATTAATAAAACTAATGGTAAGAACACACAATGAAGTAGAAAAGATGTAAAGGTGAAGTAATATACTCAAATGTAACCGTGAAATGACTTAAATCAAGATGATGACAAATACAATTATTATGCAAATAACTAGAAATGCTTCTGCAGCTAAATGAATACATCCTGTCTCTTTGTGTTCCAGGTACTTCCTGCTCTCTGTGATCTTTGTGGTTTTCTCTTTCCCTGTTGCTGATAAATCCTGGATCCCCTGCTCAGAGTTGGCTGCTGTCACTCTCTTCTTCACCGTCACCGCCTTCCTCAGCCTTCATGCCTCTGCTCAACTCTTCGCTCGTAGGGCCCTCCTTACCGAGGTCCTCTCCGGAGTGTGCTCCCTCACCCACCTCCTGCCGGACTCCCTCCCCTGGTTCCTCAGGGTCTTTGGGATGACGTTCATCACCGTGCCTCTAGGGGACAACGTGGTGTTGAACCTGGGGGTGCCATGTCTGCTGTATGGACACCTTTTCTATCTGCTCTTCCGTATGGCCCAGCTCAAAGGCTTCAAGGGCACCTACCTGTGTCTGGTGCCCTACATGGTGTGCTTCACCTGGTGTGAGCTCAGCTTGGTGTTCCTTAATAACGCCACTGCAATAGGACTCATCCGCACCTCCGTCGGCTACTTCCTCTTCTTGTTCGCCCTTCCCGTCTTCTCACTAGGCCTGGCTGCAATGCTCATCATCCAGTTACTGCAGTGGTTCCTCGCTCTGGAGGTGACCAAGATGGTGGTCACCTTGATCATTTGCTTCGTGCCAGTAGTGCTGAGGCTTTGGACTCGCTTCAGCCTCAACCCCATCGGGGTTTTTCGCTCTTTGTCACGGAGCAGCGTTGTGAAGCTCATCCTGGTGTGGCTCAGCGCGGTGGTGCTCTTCTGCTGGATGTACGTCTACAGGTCCGAAGGCATGAAGGTTTATAACTCCACCCTGACGTGGCCCGAGTACAGCAGCCTCTGCGGCCCAATCGCCTGGAAAGAGGCCAACATGGCCCAGACACAGATTCTCTGCTCTCATCTAGAAGGACATCGCGTCACGTGGACTGGACGCTTCCGATACGTCCGTGTGACCGACATTGAGAATGGGCCACAGTCGGTTATCAACCTGCTGCCTGTGTTTGTGGGGGACTGGATGCGGTGCCTGTACGGTGAGCCATATCCTTTGTGTGAGGAGGTGAAAAACGTCACAGCCGAGCCCCAGCCTCTGCCTGCCCCGGCTCCTCCTCCAGGAGATCCCCTCTGTAAACTCAAAAAGCTCGCCAAGCACGAATGTCACATCAAGCGCTTCGATCGATACAAATTTGAAGTGAAAATGGGCATGCCGCTGGAGAGGAAGACCAGGAACGGCACGATCGTAGAGGACGAAGATGCGACTAAGGACATAGTACTGCGGGCCAGCAATGAGTTCAAGTCCATGCTTTTATACTTGAACACAGGAAGCCTGGTGGAGTTCAGCACCATACTGGAGGGCCGCTTAGGCTCCAAATGGCCCGTGTTTGAACTGAAAGCCATTCACTGCATGTCGTGCGGTGATGCGCGCTTGCCCAGCAGCAGGCAGTACAAGATTGAACACGACTGGAGGCGCACGGCTCAGAATGCCCTGCAGTTTGGTTTTGACTTCTTCTTCAACCCCTTGCTGACCGCTCAGCTACAGCAACACTCGGAGACTGTGACTCAGGAGGAGGGGTAGAGACCTGGCCAACACACCTCTGGGAGAAAAATAAGTTGTATGATACTGATATTACTAGTTGAAGAACATTAATGATTGTAAATCACTCTTCTCAACACTGTAAGAGGGTGAACACATATTCAGAATTTGTGGCATCTGTCCGGTTGTAGATCTGGTCGTTTGTAATCGAATAGCTTTTGAGCCAAAATATGTCAGAACTCAAAATATAAGCACAGCAAGTACTAGTACACCACAGACAAACTGCACCAGAGTCCGCTTGGAAGTGGACCGCGACCCACTTCTTCAGGCGGTCTCGGTTTGGTTGTTTGGTCCGCACCAGGGTTTTCACACCAGCCCAAACGACCCGTACTAACCGAGCAAACAGACCTGAGTTTGTGCTAACCGAACCAAACGGGTTACGTGTGAAAGCACCCTGACAAAGGGGAGAAACACATTCTAAAAGTGTTTTTTAGAATAAGTAATTTACTGCCGAACACTAATAAAACACAATTAAAACCAAAGTCTATTAATGAAGTAACTTTGATTTTGTTTTACAAACACTGGGTGTGCTGAACCAATTTCTATGTACGTATCAAATATTTGTACCCAAAATCACCAGTATTTACATTTTACAGTGTCCTTGCTGAACTGTCGTTGTTGTGTCTGTGGACGACAGGTTGTAGAAGAATAGGTTTCTTCTTTACAACCGGTTGTCATGCTGATGATAACTTGAAAGGGTTTCCTTTGCTGTCGAGCTTTAATCATTTAACATTAGACGGTGTGCTGTATGTGCAGTGTGTAATTGTAGTGGGAGATTATTTTGAAGTGCCTTATAAAACACTCTGTTGAAAAATAATTTTGAAGAAAATACACTAAATCATGACTTTAATCCTTAACCCTTAAAAAGCGTAGACGTTTATCTCTGCCCTCCTTCCTTGTTCTCTGCTGTGCAGAGATTAATAATATTGAACATTTGCAGTCCCTGAGTGATGTGTTCTGAAGTTAACTACTGTTTTCTTTACTGTGACCCATAAACATAATGAAAACATTTGCTTGTTGCTGTTTTTGTTCAACATTAACTGCTTTATATATGTTTTTACATACAACCAAAACCAAAAACAGAGTTGAAAGAGAGTTAAAACTGGACTTACATTCATAAAATGGCCAGAAACACAACTCCAAAAGAACAATACTTTGAACTCTGCGATGGAAGTTCGTCATCACCAACGTCCAAGGTGATGATATGTTAGTGCTGTGTTCAACTTGTTTCTGCTGCCCCCACATGGCCACAAAATCAAGTGCAGGTTTAATGTGATAAGTTCCACTTGTGCTTTTCCTGCTATGACAAGACAAAATGTCTGCTCGGGGGGAAAAGAAGTCTGTGAATGGGATTCATTTGGGAGCAACAAGGGTTATATTATTATTATTATATCATCATATTTATGAATAAAGATGTATTCAGAAAGCAGTATGGCATATAAAGTGCAATACAGACTGACTTTGACCATGGAAAGAACTGATGCTCAAAGACATTGGGGAAATCCAACATATTAAAGTCTATCTAGTTCACTGTCGGTAGAGCAGGAGAGAAATGTCTTGTATGTCGAAACTCAAATCTGCAATGTGTGCAATAAGTATGTGATGACACCAGGTGGTGCCTCAGACCACATGACTGTAATTATGACCGTAACAGGCCCATTTCAATTGAAGCGTGCACATTTCCGTAATGACACTGGCAATTACTCAGTCTTGTATAATTACATAGCAATAAAAATCACAGATGTGCGCTCATTGGATGCAATTTCTTTGAAATCTTTATTCAGAAAAAAAACATATTAACATTATTTATAACTGTCCATTTGACAATTTTGTCATCAACAAACAATAACACAAAAATGTGTGAATCAACATTAGTTTGGTCAGGACGTGGTGGAGTCAAATTGACAACAAAAAAAGGAAAAATAATAGAATAAAGTGTTCCCTAAAAATAAAATCAGCAAAGTAATCAGTGAGGAAGGCCGAGTAGATTTAAGTACCATCGCTCTGCTGTGTATTTGGAGGCAATCATCGATACAGGTGATCGAAAACGCAGTCCGTTTAAGGATGTAAAAAAAAAAAAACTCATACATGTCAAAAACAGAGTTGATATATACAGACACCATATAGGCCCTTTGTTTTTTGTCATTTTTTTCTTTTAGAGAACAACATTAATGGAAACATTCCCTATTCTTCTTGGTTCTCAGTTTCAGTTGAGTAGAAACTGATTCTTGGACAGCTTCATTCAAAATGTACATGTAAGTGTATGAACCGAACACTGGTAAACATGCTTCAATGTCCCAAGACACAAATAAAGGTAGGAGAGCTCAGTCATCTATGGTTACTCATCCTGCATGGGGCCCCGGGGCCCCTGAAGCCTTTGTACAGCTTGGTCTAAATGGTTAAGAAGGCAGCCAAGTCAGTCAGTCAATTTATAAACACCTAGGCTAAATTGGTTTTACATGCAGCATCTTTTTTGCTTGATTGTTGAAATTATTTAGTTCATTTTTTAATTGCTTTTTTTTTTTTTTTGCTTGATTTGAGTTGTACTGAACGGCAAAGTAGCACACGACGTAGCCCCAGAGCAGAAGCAGAATCCACAATCAGAGAAGTTGAAAGGCCAAAGATGACAGTAATGACTGAAACACACAGTGTGGAGCAGAAATGAGTGTGTGTGTCCTCATATTAGGCCATGGTGTAACTTTTGCTTCTGTCTGCAGGACCGCAAATGTTTGACCTCACTGAACACGGTCCAGTTGAGCTCAGAGGCGTCTGGGTGCACTTGGGTTAAGGGGAGGGTCCTGAATTCATCCTTGCACATCACCTGTACCATCTGAAATTGTCATCGTCATCATAATTACCATCAGAAACATCATTTGACAAGAAGTTACAAAAACAGAAGAGGGGTGGCTGATTTGGATCAAACAAACAGCCAGTTACATAAATGCCCCAATTTTCATCAGTGCCACTGGTTGACAACCATGAAGGGTTTTCTTTACACAAAACAGTGGGCAAGGCATAAGAATAGAAGAAATACAGAAAGGAGAGGAGGAGGAGGTGGAGAAAGCAAAAGAGCTTGAAGAACAAACAAAAAAGACAAATATGTAAACGTCTCTCCAATCTGAGGGGGTTTATTCCCCTCAGAAGCTGAGCTGTAGCAATGAACACACCATCAAGCACAATCCAGAGGTTAACAATAAAGAAATCCACAGTGCGGACAATTTTGCAATCCATAATCCATAATCCATAATCCGTAATCCAGCATGTTCCCTTTCTAGCCCTTTCTAGGTCCTTTCAGTTCTGGGAGGCTGGGGAGGAGGGGAGGGAGTGTGTTGAAGAGTAGACCTAGATGTGTGTGTGTTTTCTGATGGTGTGTGTGCGTGTTAGGCATATTCCTGTGCGTGAATGTCCGTAACTGTGTACATTCTGGCATAGCTGTGTGTTCAGGTGTAAACTGGTTTGCATCCACCGCTGTAATCCCTTCATTAATGCAGCTCAGAGTTGAGTTTGTCCTGGAAGATGTACAGGTTGTTGGTGGCGGCGATGGCGATGATGTTCTCAGTCGGGTGCCAGGCTGTGTGGAGGATCTTCTTGGTGAAGTCCAGGCTGTCCACGCTGATGTCGTCCTTCCGGCGCTTTCCCCCGGCGGCACAGACCCTCCGCGGCTTCAGGACAGCTCGGGGTTTGCTGCTCTCCCGCGACGCCTCCAGGGTCACGTCGCGTTTTGTGTTGCGGTCGAACATGCGGAAGAAGTTGTTGTAGGCTCCAGTCATGATCACGCTGAGAAGAAGAGGAGGAGAGAAAGGATCAGTTACTACGGTCTGGACTTTAACATCCTAAACTAACCTTATCCCCTCCACTACATGCATAAAAGTAAAGGGTCACTTCCTCCAAATTACAAAAAGACCACTTAGTCATTGTGGTATCAGGAAAAGGAGATTATAACAGTTATATTTGGATAGGTTTTAAGATACCTTAAGTTTAATTTAGGTCATCAATGGTGGAGGAAGCATTCAGATCCTTTACTTGATTAAAAGTATCAATACTGGACTATAACAATATCCAGTATTGCATTCAACATTTAAAGTAAAATTACAAAAGTATTATCAGGAAACAGAACAAAAAGCATATAAAATAAAAGTAGTACTTATGCAGAATGTCCCCCAACTGCTTTGTGTACTGTGAAGTAATTGAATCGGTAATAATGCATCATATTTTATAAGGTAAAGTTAAAATAACTAGTATGGCTGTTAAATAAATGCACTGCATTACAACTGGTGAATTGTGGTAGAGTAGCAGTATAACGTAGCATACAAATAAAGAAATAGTACCTCAAAATTGTATAGTATTTGAGTAAATGTAGTTAGTATGTAATTTCAAAAAATCAAAAGTAAGTCTTTTCAAAAACAATATCCTGGTTATGCTGGATAACCCAGATAGAAAATACTATCAACAGTTACTGGAACTACTTTTTAGAATAAATAGTTCCTATGCAAGCAGTTCCAGTAAAGAATGTGTATTATCCAAAGCAACCTGGTATCTCATATTGCTGCTGCATTTTCTAATTTAATATTATTCATAGAGGGATATCTCAACACACCAGCAGATCAAACAGTAACTGCACCTTTATGGGTAAAAAGAAAGAAATGCCTTTTTTTTATCATTTGAATCTACTTAGAAACCATTCCAAAAACATATAAGAGCACAAGTTCTCCTCTTGGTACATTTAGTTGTCATAAGTATAAAAACACAAAAGCACATCCGGACACTTCAGGTACCTGTCCGAGCCGTTCCAGGCACACTCAAACTTGTCAAAGATGCAGTCGTTTTCATAAAGGGAACACAACTTGCTGCGGAGGTAATCGTGAACCTGGAGGAAAACACACACACACATAGAAACGATCAAAAGGAGTCCAGTTAACAGCTGCTTCACTACCAGGTATTGGCTCTCTATGAAACTATAAATAGAGTGAGCAGAAGCTGCACACACACACATACACACACGAGAAACTCAGCACAGACAAAACACATTAAATGTGGGCAAGTTGTAACACAAACCTCCCCGAAGGCAACTCTAATGAGACACAACAGCAGCCCTGAGCAATATAAGGGCCAGGAGTACATTTTAATCTAAACTCCTTTTCCATATCAGTAAACCCATTAACATCCAAACCCACCAAGGGCATGACAATAGAGACACACATGTGAACACATAAACACACACACACAGACACACAGACACTGACTAATAACGCTTTTCCCTTGTGCTTTCATTGCACCCGCCTGAGTCAGCACTGTGATGCAAGGGGTTGAAATCGACACCTTCCTCCAGTCGCCGTGCTCTGCAATAAGCCCCCTATTTTCACATTCTGCATAAAGTCAGCGGTCAATGGTCGCCCCGCGATCAATAATGCTGAGGTCAGCTCATGGTTGTACATCAAACCAGGTGACATTTTTGTTTTCTCCCGTGGGTCTTTCTGCTGAGGGTGAAATGATACAGTGTCAGAAGTTAAATATATATGTTTTTTTCCAATCTGCACAAACTCTGATTTAGAGCACAGTGCTTCATCTCTCATGGATTTCTGCATATTTTTCAAGATCCAGGAGGAATGAGACTGTAAATTTACCAAAATAAGAGCAGCTTAGCCTGATATCTCTTTTCTCCTCTCAGTTTACTCCTTTCACCCTCTGCCATCCCTCTTTCTCATCCTCCCCTCATTCCTCTCTCCTCCTCTCATCACACTCCCTCCCAAACCCTTACCCCTCTTCTCCCTCCCTCCCCGCTCTTCCTCCCTCTCCGTGCTGCATTGCAGATCTAGGTGTCGGGCCCTGTGTGAGGTATCCCTTCTTCCCATTTCACTTTATGAGTGGAGGCTCGGACTATAAATAGCTCCAGTGCGTCTTGGCCTCCCACTCCTGGCTGCCTCATAGGCCCTCATACGTCAGGCAGACACACACACACACACACACACACACACACACACACACACATGTTAACCCACAGGCCCGTGG